GTCGCCCATGCAACCCAATCCCCCTCCTACGTAATAAACCCAGTATTGCCTCCCCAGGCTAAAATCACGAAACGGTTGAACAAATAGAAAAAAAAAAGAAAAGAAAAAAAAAAACCCATCTATCTATCTACTCGCTTGCTTGAATTTTCCATTTCCTTTCCCTTTTCCCTTTTCCCTTTTCCTTTCCCTTTTCCCTTTTCCCTCTTCCCTTTTCCCTTTTCCCTTTTCCCTTTTCCTTTCCCTCAAAAAGGAACCCAAAAACACCAATCACCAAATCCAAAACGTCACACTTTCTCCAGCGCTCCCATCCCATCCCACACAAGCCTCCCGCAGTACAATCAACCAATCAATCAATCAAGCACCTACCTAGGTACGGTAGCAGCCACTACAACCACAACCACACCACACCTTCCAGCCCGCGCCCCAGCAAGCAAGCAAGCAAGCACCACATCGCAGGCGCTCCTACCGCCGCCGCCTTACAAGCCCGACCCTTCCTCTCGAGCCCCGTCGGGGATTTCTCCTTCGCAGCAGTGCCAGGAGCAGTAATTCCCACAGCAGCAGCAGCAGCAGGATGTGCACTTTTCGGGGGAGGTTTCGGTCTTGGTCTTGGTCTTGGTTGCGTTGCGATGCGGTGCGTTGCGGTGCGTTGATTTGCGGGAGGGCGATCTGCTGCCTAGGTGGTGGTGGGAGGTAGGTAGGCGGTAGGCGGGTGGGGAGGAGGGGGTGGGGGCGCTGGTGGTGGTGGTGTGGTTGGCGCTGTGGTTGGTTGGTAGTGGTGGTGGTGGTGGTGGTGGTTGTGCGCTTTGGTGGGCTCTTGGACTGACTGCCGGGGGACGTGCGGGGATGGGAGAAGGGGGAAGGGGGTGGTGGGGGGATGATATTTCGAGGGGGGTGTGGGGTTTAGGGCTTAAGGGGGGAGGGGGGTAGTCTGATGATGATGATGATGCGGACATTTTTGTTTTGTTTGTTTATTTGTTCGCTTATTTATTTGTTCGCTTAATGCTTGCCGAGGTTGGTTGGTTGATGGTTTGCATCTGAAGGGAGAAATGGGTGATAGGGTAATAAGCGAGAGGAAATGTTTTGACGACGGTGTTTTGACGACGATGTTTTGACGACGATAATGACGACGATAATGACGATTTAAATTCGTGCATCGTGACAATCGGGAAAGAATAGCAAAACAAACCCAATCCAAGCTGCGAGACCAATTCTATTCATCCAAGGTATCATATCATGGCATCTTACGTATAGAACAAAAAATCAAGTGTTTATTCCAAAGCTGCTTACCAGCGGGTTATTCATTCCATTATCTATTGTAAAGAATCAAGAATCTCGCATTATCATGTTATCATACCGGTATATGCCCTACGCTCCGCTCTTTCAAAAGGAGCTCACTCGACGTACTACGATAGCAAGTCAAAGGGCTTTCTAGAACCAGCTTCTACCGCCGACCCTACGCCACGGACCAGTTCTCTTGTTTATTTTTTCTCCTTTGTATTTTCTCCCCCCTTCTGATGCTCAGACACTGCGCGAGATGATCTCTCCCAAGATCTTCACGAGCTACCCATCCACACACCGACTCTGAGAACCGAGTGCTGCTTTCTCAGGCCGAATGCATTGTGCAGGTACCGGCTCGTGCCGATCGATCGATCGAATCGACGATCGCTCTTCCCCGTGCCGACGACGCAATGGGTTCACCAGTTGTGACCCGGACGGTAGTGGTACGGATGTAGCAGGCATCCCAGTCTCAGGTACCTAGGTACCAGGTGCGTATCGTGTCAACACATGCTTTCTGTACTCTCAGATTAATTTCCATTTCAAGAATTAAAAAATAATTTATTTTTTTTTGCATTTCTCTTTCTTTTCGATTTGAATGCGTCTCGTTCAGTGATACGCGAGAAATATTTCTCTTCTCTCTTTTACTCCCACTTTCCAGTACCCATGACATGCGTTCTACACTCTCCAACGATTCCCTATTCAGAGATTCGAGAGGAGGTATATCGTCTCTTTTTCCTTTTCTCTTTCTTTGCCATTGTAGTCGATGCGTATCTTTTAATAATATACTCCAAGAAAATTTTTAAATGAAAAAAGTAATGATTAATTTTTTTGGGGAGGGGGGTGGGGGGAGGGAGGGGGGTCTCTTACCCAATCTATCCTCATAGCAATTCAGAGGCCCCAACCTATCATCACCTGTCAATACATATATATGCCCCTCAAATCCACCATCTCCATCTCCATCCCCTTCCCCTTCCCCTTCCTTATCTCCAACCCTTCCCCCCCTCCCCTCATCTCCATCCCCCCGTCCCCCCAAAACAAAACAGAAACCAAAAACAATCCATCAAAAGGAGTATTAGCGGACGGCACGGGCGACACACATAAACAGCCAAACACACAAAACAAACAGACAAACAAACACACAAACACACTGATAGACACATAGCCAGAAAAGAAAACAGAAGAGAGAGAGAGCAGCCCAGAACACAAGAATCAATAGCTTCTTCTTCCCAAGCTCACTTCTCGCGACGGTGTTGATGTGAGGTGATGCGATGCGATGTGATGCGATGTGATGTGGATATGATGCATGTAACAAACAGAAGGCAGCCCAACAGATGCCTGCACCTAGACCCAGACCTAGACCCTGATCCAGATCCAGATCCAGATCCAGATCCAGACCCAGCAGCTGCTCCCCTTCTGTAAGTGACATAGGTAATATTCAAAGCCGTTGGCCTCCAGTGCATCATGAACACCGTAGAATCGGGAGAGAGATCATTGTCATCACGAAAGTGGGAGGAGTTCCACACTGGGGAGTTTATTTCATTTCATTCGTTCATTCATTCCTATCGAAATCTTCCGCTCCAGATTCCAGGATACAAAAATACACCGCGTACGTGTCTATCTATCGAAGAAGTAGCAGGATCAGGAAGATACCTGCAGATTAGCCTGTAGCTTCATCACACCTGGGTATCACCAAGTATCATCGTAAAATGCATCGTGAACCCCAACCATCCGCGGTACCGTTATCCACAGGCCAGAGAAACTCCAACCCACAAGTATTACCCTCATGAAACGCCTCCAATCCCGTCAAAGGGACTACCTTCCAGGTCTAGAAGCAAACGTGTATCGCAGTCGCATAATTCAAGAAAACAGAAACGCCGATTTGGTGGACCAGTATCATGAAATGACCCCAGTGTCAAGACATGACGACCACAGCCTAGCTTCCGCGGAACAAGAACTGCATGTCCTCTGGAGTTAGGCTCTCCATGGCCTTCTGGTCAGAGTTGATGGTCGAATTGATCATGCTCGCCTTCTTCTCCTGCAGCAATACCATCCTCGACTCAACCGAATCCTCAATACACAATCTCGTAATCTTGCACGGCCGACCTTGACCAATACGATGGCAACGATCAGCAGACTGCCACTCCGCAGCTGGGTTCCACCAAGGGTCCACGATAAAGACTCGCGAGGCTTCAGTCAAGTTGAGAGCGACGCCACCGGCCTTGAGGGAGACGAGGAAGCACTCAACCTTGACGTCGGTCATGAAGTGGTTGATCGAGGCTTGGCGTTGGGCGGGGGTCATGGAGCCATCGAGCATGACAGTAGTGATACCGGCGCGGCGGAGACGCCACTCGACGAGTTGGAGCATGGTGGTGAACTGAGAGAAGATGATAGACTTGTGGGACATGTTCTTGGAGCGGAGCTCGTGCAGGTCGTGAACCAGGGTCTCGATCTTGGAGCTGGAGGTCCAGTTCTCCATCTTGATTCGGTTGATAATCGAAGACTTCTTGACTTGGTGCTCATCTTGTTCGATGTCGGGCTGTTCCAGGTCAATGGCGAGGGCGATGTGGCACTGGGGGCAGTCGGGGGTGTCTATATGGGTTAGCAATCATACTTTCAGTTGATCAGGCAGCCTACCAGATGAGGCAAGGTAGCTCTTAGCACACTCGCGACAAAAGTCATGCTTGCATGCGGATCGAATTGCCTCCTCTGCGGTCTCGTCACAGATACAGCACACAAGGATATTCTGACCACCTTCACCATTACGCTTCAAGATCAGATCAGGGTGATCAGCGACTTGTCGCATCTGCATGATCAGACCAAAGATGTTGGCGTAATTGTTGAGAAGCACACCCTGAGCGACATAGGTCTCGAACTTGCGATTACTGTTGCTCATGATGCTACCGGCAAAGTCATTCTCCTCCTCGCCAAAAAATTGACGGTCAACATAGATTTCTTTGGCTGGAAGCTCCATGGCGGAAGAATGATCACGCTTGACGCGACGGAGCATGAAGCGACCTGTGAGGATGCCAAGCTTTCGGAAAGCCTCAACGCCAGGTCCTACGTTTCCAAATTTCTGGATAGGATTCAAGAGCTCCTGGTTGAAGACCGAAACGTGCTGCATGGCGCCGTGCGAGCATCCCTTACATCGATTCCACAAATCCATATCCCAGTTCAGAGTAGAGCAGGGGCATTTTTTGCAGAGATAGCATGCGAATGGCTTGATATCGAGGAAACGAATGAGAGAAAAGAACTCGCCGATACGGTTTTGAAGGGGAGTTCCAGACAAACACCACTTGTGATCTGCCTTCAGAGCGAAGCAGGCCTTGGCAGAGCCACTCGTGCGAGACTAAGCACTGGTTAGAAACGTATTAAAGAAGGAGGAACAAGAGACAAACCTTGATAGTGTGAGCCTCGTCAAGAATGACTCGGTGGAAATTGATACGGTGGATAACGCTATCCTCCTTGAAAATTGAATGCTTGCGCTTGAAGCCCTTCACTTGCTTGCGGTACATGGACTCCAGGCTGTTGTACGACATGAGTATTACATCGTACTTCATCAGCTTCTCGTAAGTGACATCCTTGACAGCAGCGTTTGTGCCGTGGTAAACGAAAGTCTTTAAGGTTCCATCCGTGTAGTCCGCAATCTCCTGTTGCCATTGCATGATAGCGACAGGAGGAATCAGAACGAGCGAGGGTTTCTTAGCAGGCCAGTCGGACATGATGAGCGAGACGGCTTGGATGGTCTTGCCCATACCCATCTCATCGCCAAGCAGACCTCCTCCCCAGGCAGTCTTCTCCATCGCGATCATCCAGCCGACACCTTGCAGTTGAAAAGGCTTGAGCTCCCGGTTGATGGTCGTAGGCTGCTCGATCGGGTGGTCTCCAATCTTTGGTGACTTCTCCAAGTCATCCCACATTGTGAGAATTTCGGGGTGGTGAAATTCGAGTTTTGCGCGCTCTCTTATACCTCTGGAAGTCTGGCCGTCTCTCCTAACGATGGCACGAGTGCGGGAGGCAGGATTGCGAGAAGCGGCAGCTGGTAAGGCGTCAGAGTCGTCATCAGATGCATCCGAGTCGAGATCAGAAGAAAGGGGAGAGTCCAGATCGCTTGCGATGGTGTCACTTTCGGCATCCTCAGAATCGAAAAGGGTGCGGCTGGCAGTTGACGCCTTGTTGTCTTGCGTCTTGAGTCCAGATGGCCTCGACTTCTTGTAGGACTTGCCAGGAGCGAGAGATCGGGAAGCTTTGGTCTTGGGTCTGCTGTTGACCACAGCAGCGCGTCTTCTACTCACGGTGGAGAGTGGAATGTCATCTTCTGAGTCATCATCAAACTCGTCAGAATCCTCTGTGTCCACAAAGCCATCTGTCTCGTCAGAGTCCTGGATGACCTTGGCCTTGCCCTTGCCTTTTGCGGCGGAACTGGTGGCGAACTTGACTGAATTGGAGCCCTTGGGAGCAAGCATCACCTTGGGAAGCTTGGCGATACGTGAAGGGAGCGCTCGGGTGGCCAGCTCATCATCGTCCTTATCGGAATCGGACACAACAGAGTCATCGTCGTTAAGATCCACGGCCATCGAGTTGGCAGCATCATCTTCTTGAGCCTGGAGGGCACGTGCGAGCTGAGCATCTGGACTGTCATCGTCGTCGGCATTCTCATCTTCATCATCGTACGAGTCCGCGATTCGCTTGCGCTTCTGGGCCGTAGGAATCAGAGAGTATTGGCTGTTGCGCAAAGCTGCAGCGCGAGCCAAAGGGTCGACGGTCGGTGCCGACTCGAAAGTCATGGTGGAGCGAGTGCGGCCCCTTCTTTCAACGGATGCTGAAGCTACGGGCGCAGGTGTTACAGCAACACTTGTGCCTTGGGTGGAGTAGTCGCTGCCCTCGTTGAGGTCATTTGATGTTGAGAGGGTGGAGATCGAGTCGCGCTCGTTACCACCCTGCTTGTTTCTTACATATTCGCCGAGATTGCGGTGAGAAGGGAGGTCGGATGATTCATGGTTACCAGTGAGCGAGAAGTGGTCGGATTTAGAGGAGGTGCTAAGGGTGGCAGCGGGGTTGAAACGGGCAGAGCGTCTCGTAGCTATTCAGAGAGGTCAGTTGAAGAACGAAAAAGGAGGCTGATAGGACGGGGGAAGTGAGATAAACCGTGGAATAGAAGATGTCTCGGAGCGATCAAAGAATGGTGGTCAAGACTTACAAGAAGATCGGGAAGATGCAGCTTCAGGCTGGACCTGGCCCTTCAGCCTCTTTGCGCTCTTTGGCGGCATCTTGCTAGCAGACGCAGACGTAGGTGGAGGTGCCGATGTAGATGTTCAGATGTCTGGAAATTGGCAGACGCCAGGGTGGTTGAGTAGTCGAGGGATTGAGTAGTAGGTTTCGTTACAAGGCCGACATAGAAAGGAGTCGCAGATAGAGTTCGGTTTCAAAGCTTCTCCTTGACGTCGGCGTAAGGGAGAAGGTAAAGTAGAGCGGGTATCTGCAGACAAGGCAGAGGAAGCAGAAGAAGCAGAAGAAGCAGAGCAGCGACTAGGCTCGATCTGAGTTCGGAGTTCGATTAGATTGTTCGCAAGGAATTGATTCAAGAAAGACACAAGTGTCTTGTATGATTACAGTTCCCGGAATTCAGAAGTCAAAAATGAAAGGACCAGACAGGTGGTGCTGTGATGGAATGAAAGAAGTAGAGGGAGCGGCGAGGTTGAGAGGTCGAGCGGTCGAGAAATCGAGTGAAGAAGTTCATGTCGCCACTCGGGAAATTCAAATAACGCGACGTCGCCAGGTCACGTGGATTCTAACGCGTCTATTGGCTCGATAAGCTGTCGGCCCCCTTTTTTATCGCCGATGCAAGGGTAGAGACGCGGAACGGATCATCTCGAACGCGATTTCAACTTTAGTTGTTGCCCCTCTAAGTTCCGACTCATCTTGAGTTCACTCAAAGAAAACAACAACACATCCAAGATGTAAGATCATCCGACTGCTTGCTTGTTCTTTAACCCCGAATTCTTTGCTAACAGTCTCTCACCCAGGGCTCGAAGAAGACAACCTGCGACTACACCCGCTGCTGCCGCCGCCGCAACCGCCGCCGCAACTGCTGCTGCAACTACTGCTGCTGCTATCGCCGCTCCCGTTGCTCCAGCTGCCCTTCTTGCTCCTGCGGCTCGACCTGGCCGACAGATTCGTGGACCGTAAGCTTCCTCGCCCAAGTCTCACTCGTGACCGCCAACCAGTTTCGTACTGACTGACTCTCGCAGACAATCCGCCTTGACCGATTTCCTTGCAGTAAGGAACTTCAAAGTCCTGCCTGCCCAACTCTGCCTCTTCCTAACCTCCCCCCCATCTAGGCCCATAACATCAACGCTTTCCAGATCAGAGCCGATGCCAATGTCCGTAGAAGAGCTGCCGCTACTGCCTCTCAACAAGCCCTCGCCACGCCCGACGCCCCCTCTCCAGCAACAGACCCAGGGAGATCACTCAAGCGAAAGAAGGAAACCAAGGCACAAGAAGCAAAGAGAAAGAAGGAAGAAGAGGTACGCTGAGCGCTGTCATAGATATATACGGACCTTGCTGACCTCTTGAAGAAAGCCATTGCCAAGATCAAAACCTCCAAGACTTTCCAGCAGCGGAGACTCTACCACGGAAATATGACAAATGAGGATGAGGAAGCTCGTGCTATATATAAGGAGCGTGCACCAATCCCTGGTCAGATGGAAAACTGCGAGTTCTGCAACAAGCGATTCAGCGTGACGGGCTACACCAGAGCTGGTCCAGACGGTGGTTTGCTATGCCCCATGTGCTCCAAGGACCTTAACAAGGAGGCAGGTGATGCACGCAAGAAGCGAAAGACTGCGGCTGGCAAGGCTCGGAGACAGATTCAGAGCAACCTCCTTGATGGTATCTACCCTGGAGCAAAGGATCTCGTGACTCTGTGTGTTGAGACTCTGGCAAAGAATGTAGAGATGGCTGACGACTTGGGCGATCTTCCCGCGTCGTTGGTCGACCGACTTGCTCAAATCCTCTCCAAGAAGCGGCTTTTGAACTCCACCACTCTGGATCTGTTTCTGAAAGCTGGCAATGACGCTGTCACTGTCTATGATGGATCTAAGCTTACTCCTGATGACTACATCCGGATCTTCCAGATCGTTCCAACCGTGAAGTTCCTCCGCCTCCGAAACGCCATCCAGTTTAAGAACAAGGTCATGGATCACCTCCTCGGAACTACCGTTAAGCTCGAGAGCCTAAGTCTCCACGGTGCCAACCTCATTGATGACGAGCGCTGGAACCGTTACCTCGCCGAGAAAGGCATGCACCTCAAAGCCCTCAAGGTCTACTACACCGACGGCCACTTCGGCGACGCACAGATCGAACTCCTCACAACAACAACGCCCAACCTTGAACGCCTCAAGATCTGCCACAACCAACAGGTAACCGACGAAGGCCTCGCCCACATCGCAAACATTCCAACCCTCAAGCACCTCTCCCTCGAAATCTACAACCCCACAACTACAGCTCCTTACCTCGCCATCCTCGACGCCATCGGCCCCAGCCTACGCACATTGTCCCTCAGCACTGTCAACTATGTCGAAGACGAAATCCTAGCCGCTATCCACGACAACTGCCAGAACCTCTTCAAGCTCCGCATCACCGACAACGAGGTCCTGTCTGATGCTGCTTTCGCATCCCTCTTCACTAACTGGCTCAACCCAAGTCTCGAGTACATCGACCTGCACAAGTGTCGCCACATCGACGCATCTAACCCACGCGAGAACCCCGACCAGATCGGTCTTGGTTCCGCCGGCTTCGAGGCTTTGATGTTCCACTCCGGTCAGACTCTCCGTCACCTCGATGTCCATTCTTGCCGCCACATCTCGCGCGAGAGCTTCGAGGCTGTCTTTGCTGAGGGGAAGATATATCCGGAGCTGCGAGAGCTGAACCTTAGTTTCTGCCAGGGTGTCAATGATTGGGTTTGTGCGTTGGTGTTCCGCGCCTGTCCGTCTCTGAAGACGTTGAAGGTATTTGGAAACTTTGGTGTCCGAGATGTTCGCGTGCCCAAGGGAAGAATCTTGATTGGCGTTCCAACTGCACTGGGCATGCAGATTGAGGGCACCGGGGTTGCAGAGGATGAGGGACGCGTTATCTGATTGGCCTTGGGTTTACGGACGTGTTTGCAGCTTGCTGCTTGGTGAATCTGGAATGATTTATTATGATGATGACTTGATGCGGTCCTGGAGTGTAAGATAGATGAATGGATATTCATGTCTACGGCTGGAGGGAAGGGGCCCGCGATCTGGCGCGGGAAGGAGGAGTTTTCATGTGGCTTGGTTTTGGCTTGGTGAATCTGGAGTTGTTGTCTGGCCGGCGTACCGGCTGCATTTTCGATGGTGCATCATCTCTCGTACCTCGGTAGCATGCAGTAGGATAGGTACCAGATCAGACGATGGATGGAATATATCAAATTTTCTTTTACCATTTGTGTTTCTGTGTATATGCAATCATCGCACGTAAGTTCCTGCATCAATTTCAACTTCGTCTTGGGCCTATATCTTACCTACCTACACAAAGCTGCCGCTAAAAAGTGATTCTTGCTTTCTTCCTTTCTCAATATCGCTGGATACCTCTCAGAGTAGGAAAATTGGAGGGACGGGGGAAAATGAAGGAAGGAGTTTGTGAGCCTACTACGGTATCTCTTGGCCATTGGTTTCGTTTTTTTGGGGGGGGGGAGGATGGGGAGGGTGTTTTGGTTTTGACGAGGGGGGATTGGGGATGGGATGTGGGATATGGTGATGGTGGTTTTTCTCAAGTACTTTTGAATTGGAATTTGAAATTTGGAATTAGAAATTTGGAATTAGAAATTTGGAATTAGAAATTTGGGATCTAGAGTTTGTACAGCTACATAGCTGCGTTGCGTTCAGACATACATTTTTCTCTTCTCTTCTCTTCTTCCTCCAAGCAAAGAGACGTAACGCCAGCCGGCACCAACCGTGCAGGTTTGGCTGGCCAACAACACTGAGCTGGCTAGCTGCTGGCTGATAGATCTTCTCTCCGTATATCGCTCTCGGGGCTTGGGGATGGGTTTATGCTTGATGCTTGATGCTTGGTGCTTGGTGCGTGGTGCTTGGTGCTTGGAAGGGATGGATACGTCTTCTACTTGAATTCTTCTCTGCTTTTCTTAGCGGGTCCTCATTCGGATTCTGAATGGCCTCTGCTTTTGAATTCATCGTCATCATAAGAGCGCGGGAATTACATGCAGTGAATAAAAGGTTTATATATATTCGCAAGCTCTCAACAGCTAGATCACATACAGGCGCCGAGCTAGCAGTATGTATCTATGCGTCAGTGAATTTGGTCCAATCAGTGCATGATATACAATATTCTGTATATAAAAAGGTCATTCTCTCTTGTTTCTCTCTTCCCTACATCTTTCTTTCATTTTAGGGATGTGGCTTTGTATGTACCTATGCGAGTCTCCAAGGAATTTTCTTAGAAAGGCGGTGCGGCACTGCGGCTTCCTTCCTTCTTTCCTGCGTGTTTTAATCTTGCTCCTGTACTTTTCTTATTCTTGATCTATATCGGCCGATAAACCTCGTTGAATACTTATCTCGAAGCTTTTTACCAATTGTCGCTTGCTGTCAAAACCACGGTAGTCTGCTGGCTTTGGGTTTCTTGGATGTTGGAAATGTCTAGATGATGGGGTTGCTTTTTTCGAAGGATGCATCTGTATATATGCGATTGGGGAGGGGGTTGTGTAGGTACTTACTTTCCTTGGACTTGGTGGAGGGCGGTTAATTGCGGTCATCACCTCTAGGATTGTTGTCACTCATTGCTTTTCTCTTTTTTGGGATATCATGACAGCTAAACTCGTGATCATCCTATTCCAGCTAATCCCTCACTACATCTCAATCCCTTTCGCTAGTTAGTCGGGGTACCTTGAAGACACACACACCTAAATCACCCATCACGCATCGCACAGAATCTGGGTCATGTTTTCTGCTCCTGCCGAATACCAGACTCGTAGACGAGGTTTTATCTATAAATAATACGTATACCCGCACTCACTCACTCACGATTCTCCGAGTGTTGCTGATAACTAGCTACTAGCGACATCCTTGTAACCGTCTCACTTTCTCTTCTCTTCTGTTGCCGAGTTTGTCCTTGCTGTCATCTCGCTCCGGCGCGTCGGTAATACGGCTGGCAATTTTCTACCTGGGCTGGGGCTGATATATAATCCACGTTTGAGACGAGGTACGAGAACGATATTAGTCACATCTTGTGTGTCGAGTGTCGAGTATCGAGTGTCGATATAAGTCTCTTAAATAGCCTGCAGTGCAGTGTTTTGTTTATGTATGTACCGGTACTTACTGGCGAGCTGAGAGCGCTGGTAGCTCGACTAACGTGCCACGTGATCCAGCTAGCCTTACACAAGGCAGAAGAGGAGCCGCAGATCCGGAGAAACAGAGACTTGTCCAGATCTAAAAATAGAACCTGACAGAAATCCTCCGAGGTTCCGTCGGTATATATTATACGATAATACGCTATAATGTACTGTAATTTACCATAATAGTCCGTGCGGCGTAGCGCATAAAACTGTGCCACTCCACCAAGCCCGCATACGAAACTTCATCTGCCTCAAGTCAACTCACCGGGCAAAGGACCACGACAACCGACAACCGACAGCAGTTAACATAAAGAACATCGACGACCCCCCCCCCCCAAAACCCGTCGTCAACCTCGTAACGGTTCCCTCGCCATCATGACCTCCCTGCTCCTTATCCACAGTCTCTACTCCTTGATCGCTGCGAGAGACGACAGTGCCAACGACAACATCGCCTTGAGCGTGCTGGCGAGTCGCGATACCAAAAGAGAAGCCCTGGGCACCTCTCTATTCGTGATACTCATCATCATCAACATTTGCATCTTCGTACCCGTTATCTTCGTGGTAAGAACCTCGCTCGTCCTTTGCAAATACGGCACGTGATTGATCATGCCGGCGACTGAACTGCACTGAATCAACTCCAGGTCACATACACCCTTCATGAAGTATTTCCGACTTTAGCAATTGTTGAGTCCGCGGATGTTGCTCCAGAATATGAATTTGTCAACGCGGATGAGGCTCACGATGAAGATGACGATTCCGACCATCTCGACTCTGGCAACGATATTAAACGTCCTTCTGCTGTCCCCGACATTCCTAGTGACGGACAAGAGCCATCATCAAGCCAGTTGCCAGATGAGACAGCAGGCATTCCTGCGAGACCTTCGAGCCCGGTAACGTGTGATATCAGAGCCACTTTCAGACTCCTACGCGCTGCTTGTGGCGGATCCTACCGGAGTGGTCTAGCCAGAGGCTTTAAATGGAAACTTTGCATCGGCTTCACCCAATTCATGATAATCGTGGTTCTCATCTCAATCCCATACATTCCAACCTTCGTCATCTCCATAATCGCCTCTCTCGCTACGACGCAGCTGGCAACAGGCTGGGTGCACGCTGTGGTATCGAAACAACAGAACTCATTGCTGTGGCAGAATCTGCCCCGGTATTGGTTGGTACTAAAAGCCACCGCTATCCCAATCATCGCGAAAGCCGCGATTACGCAGCTCATCAGAGGCTTTGTGCATCTCTTTCTCGGCCCTAGGACCGGCAGTGCTGATCCTATCGGTCTTGTTCCTGCTTACAGTGGGGGCTTCTGGCTGCATATCCTGGTGCTGGGACTCATCTTCGTAATTTACATCGTCGCCTTTCTCCCTATCGAGGTCATTTTGACTCGAACACGCGCTAGCAGTAAGATATCTCCTCCATTCATGTTGGGACCCTTCCGCGCCTGTGAGGGGAAAAACTTTGCCTTCTGAAGAAGCTCGGTGGAAGAGAGACAATGCTGACCAACACCCTCTTTCTAGTGCTCCCCAATGAGACGAACACGTTGGTCCCACTTGACGTCTCCATCCAGTCGCACGATCCTGATGGGATGGGGTTCTGGTCGTGGCAGTACTCTTGGGAGAAACTGTCCCGTGCCTCTTGGATTCGGATCGCAAAAGTCTACGGCAAGGTTTTCGCAATCACTGTCGCCGTCCACACCTTTACCTTTTTGTTTATTGGGCTCCAGATGTTGATCGTTTCTCTTTTGGGGGGGTCTTTTGTGGGGGGGTCTTTTCAAATGAAGGAAAGCGCATGAAAGGTGTTGGGGTGGCTATGTTGAGCGGCGAGGTCTACCCCCCCACTGGATGGAGACCAGCAAGCATGTATTGATAGATGCAATGCGCTGTTGCGGGCGTGGATGGCAAGGAACCATTCGCAATGGGCTTGCAAGCAAGCAAGCAACGACCAGCGCTTCGAGACGCCTCCTATCGGCTCTCGAGGTCGACTTTATGACTGAGATATATCCCCGACCTGTCTGTATATTACACCCAAAGCAAATCGAATACCCTGATCTTGACCCTCCCCCCTTTCCCCCCGAACCGCCGGTGAGAAACGAAACCCCTGCTCGCTCATGTACGGATGGATGGTATAGATTCGGGACCAGACCAGACCAGACCGACCTGCTCACCAATCCAATCCACCACCAGCTAGCTGACTTCGTTCTACAGAGTATCCAGGGACAAAGCAAACCGTGTCAAAAGACATTCAACATTGCTAGATATCCCACCCCTCCAACCTCTCTACCAACTCGCTCTCGCTCTTCTCAATTCCACATCTTTTTATCTTCCTACGGATGCCGTTGACATAAACCCCCCCCCCCCCCCAAAAAAAAGAAAATCAAGCTCACGAACCACCGCTTTTTTCTCTTCGCCTCTGTTCTGTTCGCAATCTTTCTTCTGCCCATCTCGCTTATCTTTCCTTTCCTTTCCTTTCCTTTCCTCTCCTTTTTTTTTTTTCGATTATTTCTCATCAGTTCGGGTCTGGGTCTGAGTCCGAGTCCGAGTCCGAGACCGAGACAGAGTATCGGTGTCTGCTCGATACAGTCGAGTCCAGCACAGCACAGCCGAGCCAACAACCTCGAGCAGGCATGTCTCCGCCTGCGAGCGAAGCGAGGCTTGTGGACCTTCCTCCGCGGCGGAGATGCAAGATGTATCTCGGATATTGCCATAGCGGGTGCTGGCTGCATCGGGGGTTGTAATTTGCACCAGCCTCGGCGAGAGAGAGAGAGAGTGTGTGTGTGAAAGTGTGTGTGTGTGTGTGGGTGTGTGGTTGTGTATGGGTGTGTGGTTTTCGGACGCGTCTGCCTGCTTCGCGGTCTCTTTGCTTACTACCAATGTAAGGTACCTATCTACCTACTTGCGGAGGAGTCGCCAGGGAAAAGAAAAAAAGAAGAGAAAGAAAGAAACCTCGTGGTTTTGCGACATTGACAAAGATCTCTTCCGGGTGTTGATGATTTGTTTTCTGTCCGCACTAGCCTCTTCGCTCTTATCTTGGCTATCACCAAGGGGTGCGAAAAGTGTCACCGCTGTTGATGTCGGCGGGGTTGGGGCCGGCCAGGTGTGTTGATACAGTAGCAGCACGCCGTTCAGCTGGACGATGCACTTGAATGGCCCGAACCGAACCGTTCCGGCATAGGGGGTCCGAGTGATAATGCCCTCTTGCATGTCCTCGCGCAAGAGAGCGTCTCTTGCTCCTCTTCCCCTGCGAACGCAGGCGGAGGAGCGATCTCTGCTAAGGAGGAATAGTAAGTAAGTAAGTAAGTAAAGGTTACAATGCGCGATGCGGGCGAGACTTACGTAACGTGTTATCAATATCGGTGGGTGTTCAAGACGGATCCTCGCAGGACATCTGGAGTGGAGGCCGTACGGAGAAGAAGAAGACGGCTGCAGTCACGTTAGTCCAGTCCCTACGTAGCGAGCATGGGGCCGCGAGGTAACTAATACCTGGATATCTGGAGCGCCGCAGGTTGCAGGGTGTGGTCAACTTCGCTCCTATCCTGGCTACCGCTGTCACGGTATGATTCATATTCCCGGCAGGTCTTTCGATCGCGTCCAGGGCATCCCACGTGCTCTCCGGAGACAATCAACCACGGATGGAGAAGATCCAAATTCAGGCTCGCACGCTACCACCGTACTCCCAAATCTCGCATACAATTTAACGTGGATCCCAGCTGGAACGGTGACCGGCGGTCCGCAGAAATACTTTGTCTCCGTTCTCGTTTCTTTCTCGGGTATTATCCAGCTCGCCTCTACCCTGCATTCCCAGTACTTTATCTCTAGCACCAAGATCGTAGTGAACGTCGCGGGAAAGTTTCCGATAACTTCATCCGTAGAGCTGGACACAGGCTGGACATCCGTATTTGCTAGCCCACGCTCGGACGAGGAGATGTCAGATCGGTTTTTGGGCAGCAGGCTGCGTTTAGCAGCGAACTGGGTACCGTCTCGGCTCGGTTTTGCGATTGTGATCAGCTCCAAGCTCGGCAAGGCGAGCCTTTAATGTCTCTCTGACATCCGTCGAGGTGGCTTCGATAGGAGTTACGCAGGTCAGAAACCTTGCATCACTAACCCCCAGAGCTGGCCAGTTACCGCGCCCTCGTTGTCCCGACCAGAGACCCAGAGTCGGCACGGCGCGATCCAGTACGCAAAATGCGATGTCCGGCCATGGCTTGCAAACCGTGTGTTTTTTGCCACCTGCATCGGCGCCTGTAGTGGAAATTGCAGTGGGAAAGACGTGTCAGAACACCCTTTCTATTGAACTTTCCATCAGCAGTACTTCACGGTCCGAACTCAGCGGGTGCAGCTTCGACCGGGAAGACCGTCGCGGACGTTCGCGATGTGACGACGGCCCCGAACGTTTTCGCGGTTGCGCATATCGTATTCTCCGTCTTCATCAGAATCAAATGTTCCAAATCGCTATGCAGGTCATTGCCGATAGCTAGACGGGGCCGGCATTCTGCACCGGGTGCATGTCGGGGGCTTCGGGCACGCAGGACCACCGCGGTCCCAGTCGTGGCAGTGAGCGCAGGTCACCTGTGTGTGATGTATGGTGGCCACGGTCACTGCACTGGCGGCAGACCATGGCGAGCGTGTACGTGTCGCGTTCGTACCGTGGGCAATCCGGAATGGGATGCGCCGGAGGCAACGAAGGGGAGTAACAACCTGCCTTTCCGGACAAGAAAGCGGAAGAGATTCGTCCAGAGCGCGGAATCGATGAATTTGGATCGGCTTGCAGCTCAGTTCAGAAAGGATTCCTTTTCGAAAAGGAAAAAATAAGAAGAAGAAGAAAAAAACCTCTGTCGTTTTTGTTGGCTGTATTGGTGACGTGAGGTGGTGCTCAGTGGCGAAGGTCCGCGGCCGCGACCGCTAAGGCTCTAATGTGCAATCATAAACTCCATCATTTTTATATCAAAAAGAAAAGGTAACCAAGAAAATAGTGAAGATCATTCCATATTGTGAATATAGTTATAGCGTCAGTTGCTGATTTATCATACCGTGTGAATAAACAAGGCCTTTCACTATATTTCTCAGGCACGTCAGATGACCCCAGCTTTTCTTGATGGATTGAATCTCGGGTGCCGCTCACCTATTCTTATATCAGGAAGCTCTCCTTCAGAATGCTATCAACCATCACCTCTTTGCTATTTGGATTTGTTGCTCTTTGAATAGTTTACTGTTTGACCAATCCATCAATCTGAGCCGTTGTGCAAACCAACCATCACGCTGGTGGCGAGGCGTCGAGGCCCTCCTAATATTATTGATTTGCTTCAATTCAAATCGAGACAGAAGATTTGTTTGAGTGCTCCAGCACTAGGATAGGTCATGAGTAACTAGGCAGACGAAATGCGATATCTTTTTTTTGGAAGCACGTGCATCGATTTCGATGCTTGTATTTTGTGTCTTTACTCTCAGAAGTTCTCGACGGCAGCAAGGCAAGCAAGGCCTGCCTGCAGGTAACGCCGCATCCACGTCCGTCAACAGGCCGGTCGTCATTATCAGATTGATGAATGGTTCTGTAAACTTCAGTCAGTGACAATCAAGTTTGAGAGAGGCAGTACATATTGTGTTCGCTGCTAATGAAATCGGAAAGCCACTTGATGCTTGCCAAACCCAAAAGTTGACTGCATATCGGGAATTTCACACCAACACCTTCGCAGATCCGTTATATTCACCTCCTGAGATATGAAAAAAGAAGGATCTGTTATGAAAGGTTTGTTCGTAGTTTGTTTATGGTAATCCCAGCTGCTCACCGACTGCCTTCATCCCAAACGCCAAACAAACCCTTCAGCCTAAGCCAGGAGGATATCTCGCGAGCTTGGAATCTGCGAAGTAGAATGCGCTGACAAGATAGATAATATCCAATAACGGAATCACCGCGGCAAAGGAACGAAGAAGAAAACAATCTACATGCGTGGGCGGACGCCGTGATAACGCCCACGTGTTTAGGAAGCGAGGAGAGTAGATGTCGTGGGTTGAGAGGAGTCTGAGGAGTATATGTCGAGGATGTACTGTAGTGGAGATCGTGTTTCTGCATCTGTTTTGTTCCTGGATCAAGTACTACTACCATGCGCTTCTGGTACGTGGCTACATCACGTCTATAGCCTGTATATAGACGAGTGGCTGTTCCTCCCTGAACGCACCACCACCATCATACATACCAATACATTCGAGTACCATACGTTTACCTCCCTCCTCACCACCGATTCTATGATTATATATATATATATATACATCTCGTGATTCTACTTCTACTATGCGGAGCCTCCTTTCCTCCACAGTACCTGCGTAGTAACAGGACCGTCGGTAGCCGAAAAGTTTACGAGCAGCGAGTTGAATGATACAAAACAGCGACTTGGCAGAGCATGACATATTGCAGGCCATGCATTCGTCGCTGAAAATACAGAGGGTGGATGAGTCTCGCGTACTTAATCCACTCACGTCGCGTCCCCATCATCAGCTTCCTCCCTCGGGTTAGGCCTCTCTCTAATCTCCTTAACCGCCTGTCTCACCGCCGCATTTTTTTCGAAGCTCAGATGCACAAGATCGACCACCTCGTCCACCGTAAAATAAAGACTCAGATCACTCTCAAACCACAGAAACTTCACATCCTTGAGGTTGCTCTGCAAGACCTCGCTCAGGAATTTCATCTTCATCCACTTATCCGCAAACTGAGACGTGATGGGAATCGCTGCTTCGGCGTCAGGGCCCGATATTCTGTGCTTGGTCCGGTTAGGGGATTGGGGTCTCGGTAAGAAGAGATCGTCGAGACTTTCGACACGCGAGAGAATGGTGGCGGTGCGCTCGGCTTCGTCGACGCTTATGTCTGAGAGATCGAAGACGTCGGTAATTAGCTTTGAGGCGACTGCATTGACGAGCGAGCCGGTTGCGGAGGCCCAGGCTGAGTAGGGGAGAATGGAGTCCCAGAGGGCGGCGGTAGTGCGGATGTGGGTTATGACAGCTTTGATGTTCTCTTCGAGCTCGCTGGGGATTTGGTCGTCTTGTTGGAAGAAACTATGGGCTCCTGGGAAGTATTAGACTAGTAGATTGAGGGGTAAAAAGGAAACATGCCGCCAAGGAGGTCGTTGATGATGGTGCGTTGTGCGTTCAGCTCGTTTGTGTAGGCACGTTTACCGAAGCTGACTAGAACGCTTATCTCGGACTCAATTTTGACCATAGCCAATGTACGGCGTGGGATATCGGGACGGTTTTGCCAGGCTGCGATAAACTGCTGGAAGCTTTCAGAGAGCCACATGGCATCGTTGTATAGATACATGTTGCCGCCTGGTTGCAATGAGTAATAGTAAGGAGAGACCGCCCGGTAAAGAGCTAGGACGGATCTTGGAAGGTTGAACAAGCCCACAGCGGCTGGGCTAACGGGTATATGAGCATTCCTACATTTTGTTAGCAAGATTTCCGAGTGCTCGTCTAGCTGCCTGGCCGACTTGTAGTCGATCACAAGGCAGAGAGCGAAGATGACTTACTCTGGTTGAAGTAGATATGCACCATCGGCGTACACCTGCTCAACTGTGGTGTAAACCGCGCGTGGCAAGGATGAGGTCCAATAATTTTCAGATAGTGTCATCTCCCGTGTAGGGGGGCTGATGTGTTGCTGGGGTGGAGCGACCTCTACCACTTGCGACGCCGCCAACTGAGCTTCGGGCTCGACATCAAGCACATCGTCGTCGTCGTCACCCCAGCCCCAAGCATCTGCGGCGTCGTCCGCCTGGTCATCTGTATCCGGCGTCGGGAGAGGGCTGAAGACCTGTGTATGGTCAGCAATGTCGGCATGACAGATGGGTTGCTTTTGTCCAGAGTAAGGGCACCAGACGAAGAGCGGAGGAGGACACAGGAAATTCTTAAGTTCACCTCGCTAACACGTCGTTCTTCGTCTAACGATTGACGGTTTCTCGTTACAATATTTGAAACTTGTTCGTGACTCTCTGCTTTTTGCGGTGAAGCAATTTCACCATCATCGCTCCACGCACTGTCCCAATCCTGCGTTACCTGCATCAGTTAGTAAGAGGGACCGAAAATAAGGAAGAAAACCGGAAGAGGGTCGCCATTCGGAGCTCAAGATGGTACATGTGTACTGACGGCCAACCTGGGGTTGATGACACGTACAGCGGTTCCAGTAGCAGTAATATGATTGCCCTCGTCTCTCGCCACCATACGTTTCTCGACTCTCTCGGCAGGCTGCGGAGTTCCAAGCCCTATGCGAAGATCAGTGACGCCCTAGAAAGAGAGTGTGCATTAGATTGTACCTAAGGAGAGCTGATTCCGAGTCCAGTCTAATGTCGCGTCTCGCCTCTTGTTGACCCATATTTTGGGTGCATTCGTGACCCAGTCGTTAAAAGTATCGACCCCAGGCCAGTTCAAAGACTCCAGCTTGGAAGCAAACCCGCCTACTCGAGACAAAGCTTTTTGGTAGTCAATCATGTCATCAAGGGAAGCGGGCACGGCAGTGTCCAGCCACACTTCAAGAATGCGAGTAGAAAGTGTCGGCATCATCTTATCTGCCAACGGCCGGATGAAATCTGGGGGGAGGTTCTCGATGAGGAACTCTATGATCACCTCTAGGTCAATAAAGAGGGACTTGATAGTCTGGTTAGCGACTTCAGCAGCGCCAAGTGACAGCGAGTTCTATGCCAGTTAGCGGCTGAGCTCAATTGCAATCATCAGAGTGGCACTGACCCCTGTGACTTGTATGCTTGGTATAGAACCAGCACTTAGATTAGTACGAGGTTTCAAAATAACATCATCCAGGTCTTCCCAAAATTTCTTAGCAGCTTGATCAAGCTCTTTGTAGGCTTTCAGGCCAATTATTGCTTGATCTATATCCATTGCGGTCCCTGCAGTCGTCAGCAGAGAGCATTGCCAAAATAGCAGACTTCTCACCTGGCAATACCCTGTTGATCGTGATTACAGCGTGGTCCGGCTTCACATTTATGAGTTCCTTCCATATTGTCGCGAACTGCTCGTGAATCTGCATCCGTAATTCAAAAGATCTCGAATCCAGCAACCGCATGGCCCTTGTACTTTTCTCCAACGGGATGTCCCCCAAGCGCTTCCACGCATCTATCCAAATTAGCATGTGGCTCCGAACACACGAAGCCTCCCAAAACCCACCTTCAAGCATATGCAGCCCATCGATAATCCTCTTCTCGCTAGCTAGCTGCTCCGCCTTATTCAAGCTCTCATTGACCGCCTGAAGCGACCGCAGCGCAGCGAGGAGTTGGTCGTTAAAGGAAAGCTCCTTTGACAAAAAATCAATATAATTCTCCTTCTCCTGCAGGACCTCAATCTTCTCCTCGTCTGCCTCGGCCTGCCGCACTATACTGCTTGCCAGTCGTCGAGATCGCTCGATATCATCTTGTATGGATTTGGCATGCTTGATCCAGAGATCCACATCGGGGGCGGATTCTCTGCTGATCTCGCGGACTTCATTCTGGGAAATGCATTAGCTTTGTTGCACATGGAAATTGGAGAGACGTACCTCTAGCTCTGCCTTTGCCCGGTTCAGTGTTTCTAGAGCTGCAGATACTGTGGAAGAGTCCACATAGGCTGAAGATACGGCGTCCTCCTCAGGGAAAGTGCCGTGGATGGAGAAATCGATAAGTACTTGTCCCAGTTGATCTTGGACATTGGGATAGGACATGTTGGCCCGATGCGCTGAGCGATGAGGCTTGGATTGGATTATTAGGGTCGGAAGAGGGGCAGATGTCGATTCAAATCCAAGAGCATATTGGTCTGAGTCAAGCTGCTGGCACTTCAATCCGGAGCTGTATGGTGGAATATTTACGGTAAGCTGGCTACTTGGGACCTGTATAGCTGCAAATCAAGCTTACAGGGAGCTCGGCTTTCGCAGCTGTCCATGACCGACAGACGCGTCTGCCGCGGTGCCAAGGAGCGGCTATCGTACCAGCGCCACAGCCGCAGCCGCCTACCAATCACACTCTAGCCATTGAACAATACGAAGGGAAGAAGAAAGGGCTGTAAGGAAAAGAGAAGGCTGATCCAAGCCGACATCCAAACCGACCTGCTTTGTCCTTTTCTTTCTTCTCTCCAAACCTCCGACTCTAGCTGATAGTCTTTTAAGTCCAGTCCAGTCCAGTTGACTTCAATTCAGTCCTCGCATTTTCTTCTCCCACACAAATACATGGATTAATACGATCTCGTATTTGTCGGTGCATCTTGCTACCGCCAGCGAAAATTTCATAGCCGAGCCGACCCCAACCCTTTCATCATCTGTACCTACGCAAGGCTGCAAGGTTACATTACAGGTGACACGATATCCAAGGCTCACGATCTCGCCCCAAAGGCAAAGGTATGTTTGTTATCTCTCTATCTCTCTATCTCCGAGTATTATCTGTCGAAGTCATTCGTTCCTCGGCGACGGGGCCTCTCTGCAGCCTCCTACCTGACCTCAACTTTATCCCCGGCCCTCCTCTTCATTGTTTTGTTTGGGTCCGGCCAAAATGGCGGGGTATCCATATCCATATTCTCAACCATACCCATACTCACAGGCAAGACGATTGTCGATTATAAGTGTGGTAGTACCACTTCTTGCTCTTATCCTCTACCATCTCAGCAAGAAAGCTGGGTATGCAAGACCGCTACCACTCTCGCTCTCGCCCTCTCTTACCTCCTCTCCATTGTACTCCCAAGACAGGATTGCTGACTCGCTGCCAGATCAGTCACGTGATATCCATAGTCTGGAAAAACTATCACAGCATCAACACGCTACATGAATCCTGGGAATACCAAAAGGCTGACCATACAAAAATTATAGGAGTCCAAGCCTCCTCTTCAAAAGCAAGGCCACCTTGGTCTCTTTTCAGCTGCGATCCTTCATCATGCCGAGCCAAAGCAAGAAGCCTCGGTTCCGGACCATCCAGCAGTTCGAAACAGACTACTCGCCAGTGTCCATCTCCCAATATGTATCAGAGCAGACGGGTATGAGCGTCGTAGTGTGTAATCAGGAAGGCCCCAAAGTCCGAGGATACTTCACCCTCGCGACCGAGATCTTTGATGATTCCGGATCGCCTCATACCCTGGAGCACTTGGTGTTCATGGGCTCCAAGAGCTACCAATACAAGGGTCTTCTTGACAAGCTTGCCTCTCGAGCCTACTCGAACACAAACGCTTGGACTGCCACGGATCACACGGCCTACACCTTGGACAGTGCCGGCTGGGAAGGCTTTGCTCAGATCCTCCCAGTCTACCTCGAGCATATCATCCTGCCCACACTCACTGATGAAGGATGTTACACTGAAGTGTGGCACGTGGACGGCGACGGCAACGACGCTGGTGTGGTCTACTCTGAGATGCAAGGTGTTCAGAACAATGGCCCTGAGATCATCGACATTAGAGCTAGACGCTTGCTGTATCCTGAAAATGTCGGATTTCGATACGAGACTGGTGGCCTGATGGAGAACTTGCGAGTTCTCACTCCCGATCGTATCCGCGCCTTCCACAAGGAGATGTACCAGCCGAAGAATCTGTGCCTTGTTCTCGTTGGTGAGGTTGACAAGGATCACCTTCTCCAGCTCTTGGATGAGTTTGAGGAGGGCATTATTGACTCCATCCCTCCACCTTCGGCTCCTTTCAAGCGGTATGGCCCTATACACCTCCAATTGAGATGCAATGCTGATCTAAATACAGCCCATGGATCGATTCTGCGCAGCCACCTCCCATTGCCAAGACAATCGTGGAGACAGTCAACTTCCCCGAGGAAGACGAATCGAGGGGTGAGATTACCGTTGCTATGTTTGGACCGAGCTGCAACGATGCCGTCGCTACAGCTGCTCTGAACGTTCTCCTCACCTACCTCGCCGGTTCTTCTGTCTCGATTTTGGAGAATGTCATGGTGGAGAAGGAGGAGCTCGCGTCTAGCATCGGCTACTACTGGGACGCAAGACCGAACACGGTGATCTGGCTTCAGCCGAGTGGCGTGCTGACGGAGAAGCTCGCGTTTGTTGAGCAAAGACTGTTTCAGTTGCTCAAGGAAGTTGCTTCGAAGCCTCTGGATATGAACTACATGCTGGACTGCATCAAGAGAGAGCGCAGACAGGTGAAGTTCCAGGCTGAAAGCTCTTCTAGCTTCTATGCTACCGGCGTCATCAATGATTTCCTGTTCGGCGAAAGAGATGGTTCTACGCTGAAGGAATTCGGGACCGTTTCCGAATACGACAAGCTCGAGGGCTGGACCGATGAACAATGGCGCGACTTTCTGAAGAAGTGGATATCTGACGCTAACCATATCTCACTTCTTGGCAAGCCTTCCAAAGCCATGGCTGACAAGATTAAGAGTGATGAAGAAGCCCGGGTCCTTGCTCAAAAGGAGAGGCTGGGCCCAGAAGGTCTCAAAAGACTGGCAGAGAAGCTGAAATTGGCAACCGAGAAGAACGATGTAGAAATCCCTCCATCTGTCCTACAAAAGTGGCCCGTGCCAGGTGTCGACTCCATCCACTTTATCGAAACTACCAGCGCACGATCTGGTCTGGCAAGGAAGCTCGGGGCTCCAGAGAACAAGGCCCAGAAGATCATTGACTCAGCCAATTCTGACCTCCCAATTTTTTTGCAGTTTGAAGATGTCCCTACAAACTTTGTTCACTTGACTTTACTCCTAGGCACATCTCAGGTCAAGACCGAGCATCGCCCATTGCTGTCTCTGTTCATGGACAACTTCTTCAACACTCCCATCATGCAAGATGGTAAGCGTGTTGAGTTTGAGGAAGTCGTCACGAAATTGGAGCAAGATACCATCAGCTACTCGGTGGGTGGCGGTGGCCGTATGAACGATGCTGAAGGACTCGTCATCCAATTCCAAATCGAGCCCGACAAATACGAAACCGCCATTAAATGGATCCGCACCATGATGTTCGACAGCATCTTTGACCCTGTCAGACTCAACGCCGGTATGGCCAAGATTCTTGCGGACATACCCGAGGCCAAGCGAAATGGCAACAACATGCTTTTCGCCGTCGACTCCATGATCCACCTAGACAAAGAATCCAGCGTCAAGGCACGAGGCACGCTTGTCAAAGCCATCTACATGAAGCGTCTCAAGAAACTTCTCACAAAAGATCCCGGTACCGTTCTCTCCTGGCTGGAAGCTCTCCGCAAATCCCTCTTCACGTTCAACAATATGCGTGCCCTAGTCATAGCCGACGTCTCCAAACTGCCAAATCCGGTCGATGCCTGGAAGCCCCTCATCGCGGGCCTCGACACCGCCGCTCCCCTCCTCCCCCTCGTCAAATTGTCCGAACGTCTCAGCCCAGACGGGCGATCCCCAGGAAACTACGGCGCGGTGGTGATCCCAATGGCCACAATCGACTCTTCTTTCTGCGTCGCCTCCGCCAAAGGCCCGACCTCCCCCAATGATCCAGTGCTCCCGGCTTTGATGGTCGCAATCTCCTTCCTCGAAGCCGTTGAGGGACCCCTCTGGACAGCAATCCGCGGTAAGGGACTTGCTTACGGCTCGGGGTTTAGGCGTGATCCTGACGGAGGCTTCGTCCAATTCTCTGTCTACCGGTCCCCCGATGCATACCGCGCCTTCGTTGCCGGCCAGGCCGTCCTTCAATCCTACATCGACGGCACGCTGAAATTCGAGCAAGCTGCCCTTGAAGGGGCGATTAGTGGCATTGTGATGGGGTTTGCGGATGAGCAGACGACGATGGCGGCCGCGGGACAGTTTCACTTTGTGAATAGTGTGGTGAGAGATCTGGAGGATGGATATGACGCGAAGATTCTCAAGGCGGTGCGGAATATCACTGTGCCGGAGATCCAGGCTGTTATGAAGGACGTTCTGATGCCGGCTTTCTTACCGGGAAAGAGTAACGTCGCTGTTACCTGTGCACTGGTTATGGAGGAGGTATGTTATTATCTACTCTTTGACCCTGCCTTCTCAGCCTCGCCCCTCTGTATCCTTCGCTGGCTCCCTTCATTTTCTCTCGGAATGTTTGTACTGACAACCCCACTAGGGCATCGTAAAAGGCTTCTCCGAGCTTGGCTTCAAGACAAGCGTGCAACTCCTCTCCAGCTTCCAAGAGAGCTACGGCCTCGAAGCAGACGGGGACGAGGCCGGGAATGAGGACGAAGCTGTAGATGGCGAGGGCGGAGAGGGAGATTTGGACGACGAGATGACGGAGGCGAGTCAGGATGAGTAGTCAAAGGGGAAAGGAGGGGGGCATGGGGATTTTAAGTGGCCGGACAATTTCCGGTTCACCTCTCTAGATAGTACTTGAGATATTTGGTAATGCGAGCCAATGATGATTATTTGAAAATTGGGTACCTTTTTGCTTTCATTTCCTCTTTTTTTTTTCTTTTTTTCTCCAAAAGAAAAGAAAAATGGGTAGGGGTGGGGGGTGTCGGATGTGATCAGGTGATAGACCTATCACGTGTCAAGACCTCTCCAGATGTATAAGTAGAGGGCTACTCCCTAAGTTCATCAGACAATCAATCAAGAATCTTTCTATTCATCTTCCTCCCCGTGTTACCGTTCAACAGGTTATAAGCTTCCGCTGCGACTTCCTTAGCGCCGAAATACCACAACTAATACTCTCTGCGACTTCCTCAGCATCGAACCCCTCGCAAAGACAGAATCAAAACGGAACGGAACACGATATTCCTCTTCAAAACCATTTTCTGACGATATACACAACTCCTTCTCCTTACTGCTTGTCTTCACTGCTTGCGTTCATCGCTAACTTTTTATATCTCTTTCTAAAAACATACGACCTTTTGTTTTTAGAAACACTTTAGTAGTAACTTATCTCGGACAATAGTGTTTCTTCAAAGTCTATATATATACATATATATTTGTAGACTTTTCGACGGAATACGCCGAAATGAACCCTAATCTTCCGAGATCTAACTTCCCATGGATCCACCTTGCACATATACCTTACTTATATCCAGCATCGACCGAAAACTCTCTTACCGAGACTACTATGTTTCAAACGACTCAGCCGCACTACGTTAGCGCGCTTGGGCCTCTACGACAAAATAAAACTCGGACAACCTTAATAGATTCCTCATCTCATTCTCAACTTCACTTGTCTCATCGCAAACTAATTATGGATCAGGACGCTGCGGACAGCTTAACTAACCAAGAACTTCGAAAGACCTTAAAAAGGGCCTTTCCTACGGACGATACCTTCGTACCATCAAAGAAAACGAAAACTCGCAAGATCTCTCAACCCTTTAACTCTACTCTCCTTTACCGCTCTGATCTCTTTACAAACTATACACAAACACTTATCAACACCCCTTTCCAATCCTTCGACTCTGCTGAAGATCGTGACTCTGATCCTGATTTCCAACCCTCTAATACCGAATCAGACTCAGACACTTCCTTTTTATCGGCCTCGGACGAAGAACCCCTTTGCCCTCCTTCACCTACTCCACTCTTCGGCTTCCGAGTCAAAGAACCCTCTCACCACTTACAAGAATATCTCGATAAATATCACTCCGGCACCACTAGCCAACGTCAAGGATTCTATCAAGCCTATCAAGACCCCGATTTCCAAGAATGGCTGCGGACACTCAATCCACCTCCTCCTCCGCTCTCTCCGCCGTTCCGTTCCTCGACGAAGAAAACTGGGTCGAGTTCCTCCGACGTATCGACTTCGCCCTTGTTAACAAAAACTACCTTTACGAAAAAATCCTTAAAGGTACAAGAGTCCGACCAACTCGCTCCCCAAGCGAGACGGAGTCTGCGTTTAAGAAAAGACTCGACGCGTGGGACGAACTCCAGACTCAAGGCTGCTCCTTTGTCCGCAGCAGACTCGGGCCAACCGCCGCAGACTTCGCTAAAGGAAAGGGAATAGGCCTTACAATCGTCGGAGACTTTAAAGAGCACGATCTTAAGAAGCTATTATTAGTGGATTTAAAAGAACGATTTCGACCTAAAGGCGTCGCGACGTTCCACCGTCTTCAGTCCGCGTTGCTCGCTCTTCGCATTAACGAGTTCGACGACGTCACTTCTTTCAATAACGAATTCATGCGCTTAGACGGACAACTTAAGCTTCTCGGTGGTAATACTCAACTTTCCGCTCCATAGATAGTTAGGGTTTATCTTAACCAGCTACCGTCCTCGTACGAAAACTTCAAATCTAACTAGGTCTCGAATAACGATTATATCGACGGCGATAAATCTAAAACTGCCTTCGCCGACCTTATAGCCTTTACCCGCAAGGAGGAGCAGTTGATGCAGCACTCCTCGGGCAAGGCATTCCTCGCACACGGCAAACCCGGCAAACTTGCAAGAGGAGATAAGTCTACTATAATCTGTAGTCATTGCAAGAAGCCTTACCACTCTGAGCCGGAATGCGTAGTGGCCCACCCTCATCTAAAGGCTGCCCTCGATAAACGAATCGAAAAGAAGCGTAAGGACAGAGCTGCTAAGCAAGTTAAACTAAAGACGGCCAAAAATACCGACTCTTCCGAAAAGACTCCTTCCGCTGTTCTCTCTATGCTATCGATTCGTGGCTGCGCTAATAAGACCTTTCAACCCGCTTTCGACGTTTAAGATTCTAATATGGATTAGCAATTAAAGTTTGCCCGAAGTAAATTATCTTGATTAAAACTAGTCCAAAAGCATTGTTCTCTTCCTCGACCTGACCTTTCCCGCAATTTTCAATCAAGGCAGCGTCTTCGAAAGCTCCGGACTTTGTTGTCGAGTACTACCTCTACTCTTGGGTACTAGATAATTTCTATTCTTTTTACAATCCTCACCTTTTTACCTTATTTTTTACTCTTCCTTTTTACTCTTTGGAAAACACGACGGCTTACCGCCGTAGCAGTGTTCTCTTATCTCTCTTCTCTTTTACCTTGGCACGCCGCACCCCTTATTAAAGCTTTCCTTGGGAATTCTTCTCTTCAATTCTCTCAAGAAACCTTACACGCTCTCGCCTCTTGGTCCCCAGATACACTCGAAAACACTTTTATCTTTGATAGTGGTTGCACTAAGCACATGTTCCACCGTCAAGAGTTTTTCGAAAACATCTCTTCACTCGACCTAGGCGAGGCAACTACCGTCTCTGGAATAGGGGGTCATTCACTCTTACTTCAAGGGAAGGGCACAGTTGCCTTACCCGTCAAAACGAACGACGGCAGCTTCGGTTGGATTCGTTTACATAACGTTATTTATTGTCCGAACCTTGGTACTAACCTTCTCTCTTGTTTGAATCTCATTCGAAGAGGTGTAAGTGTGACTTTAAGCGAGAAAGGCGCTCTGCTCTCTTTACTAAGTAAGAACTCTCTAGTTTTCACCGCTCGAATCGCTCAAGACTTGTTTTGCCTTAATATCGATCTGCGCCAGCTCATGGACCGAGTTCTTCGCCCAAGTCACATACATAAAGCTTTCGACCTCAGCTAACGACGCTACGCTTACCTCTCTCAGCTAGCTTCGACTTTCGATACTTTAGATCCTCCTTAACAACGATCTTGGTATCGAGCTCTGGCCGCCTTTTCTACTAAGGAGGCTTGGGCTGTTTAGCATAAGCGTTTTAGACATCTCGGATAAGAAAACCTATTAAAGATGCAAAAACTGTCGGAAGATATGGACCTACGCACACCTCCTCCTTTGTGCGCCTGCGAGAGCTGTCTCGACGGTCGAATGACTAAGGGAGCACATAAAGGACACATCAATCCAAGACGGTATCCCGACGAGCTTATTCATATGGATACTGTTAGACCCCTTCGCAAAAGGTACGATGGCTCTACTTATTTCATCCACTTCTATTGCGACAAGACAAAGGAGGTCGAGTGCTATAGCATAAGGTACAAGTCTAAGGCACTAGATAAATTCAAACTCTTTTAAGCCTCTCGTCGAAGAAGGATCATGCGTCTTCGCACCGATAACGGAAGCGAATACGTCTCTCGGCGTTTTCAAGAACACCTAGCCGAGACAGGCGTTCGATTTGAACCTGCTGTTCCGCACAATCCACAAATGAATAGAGCTGCCGAGAGGATCGGACGAACACTTTAGGATATTATAAAAACGCTTTTACAAAGTTCTAAGTTCGATGCGAAATGGTGGCCGGAACTGCTCCGCATTGCCGTCTATCTTTACCTTCGTCGCCCTTATAGCTCTATTAGCATGACTCCTTTTGAGGCTACGAACTTGTGCAAACCGTTCGTTTCGCACTTACGCATCATCGGCTCTAAAGCCTGGTTTCTCGAAGGCAAAATTGAAAAGACAAAACCGTATACTAAACGGGTCTCCCACGGAAGGCTGATTGGATACGAAGGTGATCACATTTATCGTATTTTAACGACCGACGGTCTTATCAAAAAGGCACATAGCGCGCATATAATTAAGCAGCTTCCAGCTTCTGCCACTGTCGAACAAACAGATTCTATAAAAGGATCACTTACCCTTCCGCACCCTGACTCCGCTTCCCACCCTTCTGATTCCTACCCTTCAACGCCTTTAAAGCGCAAGACCGAAGGATCACCTAAAACAAGGCCAAAATACCCACGCCTCTCGCCTACCGCTAAGAACGACGACTATTCGGCTCGAGGGCCTACCGCCCAAGATCTCCGACCCCCACCTCCTCAAGAGAACCCTCGTGTCCTCGATACTCCTGATCGCCCTCTTTATCCTTCGACTCCTCCTCCTTTCTCTTCGTCCTCCGAGAGTACGTTCGATTCTACTCCTCGAACTCCTTCTCCTTCGCCAACTCTTTCTGAACTTCATCCTAAGCTCTACCGGGACCCTGACTCACCTGACCCAATCGCTCTTATAGCACTCTTAGCAAAGCAGACCTTAGAACCGAGGAAGAAACTCAAGGTCAAGCACGCCGAAGATAAAAACAGTTCTCATATTCAAGCCCTACTCGGTCTTATAGCAAAAATCACCCTCTCCGAGGCCAACTCCCCTGAACCCTTCGAACCGAAGACTTACAAACAAGCTATGGCCGATGGTAATCGAACGGCTTGGCTAGAAGCTATGGCCGAGGAACAGAAATCACTTCACGAGAACAATACCTAGGACCTTGTCGATCCACCTACGACTCAGCGCGTCCTTCCCGGTCGATGGGTATATAAACACAAGCGAAGACCCAACGGCTCTATAGTCCGCTGGAAAGCACGCTGGGTCGTTAAAGGAGATCAACAAAAGGAAGGCATTGATTACACCGAGACCTTTGCTACGGTCGTCAAGCCTATAAGTTATAAAATGATTTTCGCTATCGCCGCTGCTTTAGATTAAGAGATCGATCAGATGGACGTTAAGACCGCGTTCTTATATAGGAAGGTTGCCGAATCCGTCTACGTAAAGCAACCTACCGGGCTCGAGGACGGGACTAAAAGGGTTTGCAAACTAAACCGCGCACTCTACGGACTTAAACAAGCCCCTCGCGTCTGGTATAATACCTTGTCCGAGTTCCTTATCGAAATAGGATTTAAACCCCTCGGCACCGACGCAAGCGTTTTCCATAAAGAAAGAGTCATTATCGCCATTTACGTCGATGACCTACTTATCTCCGGCCGTGATCGCGCCGAAGTCAATAGACTTAAGGCTGCCTTGTCTAAACGTTTTCAGATGACTGATCTCGGACCAATAGCCTATTACTTGGGCATGACAGTCACTCGAGATCGCGCCAATCGAACGCTTAGTCTCGGACAACGGGCTTATGTCGAGAAGATCATTCAAGACTTCGGGATAGAAGATTGCAATACTTACGGTACACCGATAGAGGTTTCCTCTAAAGTCTTAGTCCCACCTCCACCAAAGTATCAAGCCCCTCCCGAGCTTCGTCACGAATACCAGCGACTCATCGGTTCGCTCATGTACGCTATGCTAGGTTCTAGGCCCGACATTGCCTTCTCAGTCTCTATGGTTAATCGTTTTGCTTCAAATCCAACCATAGAACACATGAAAGCAGCGAAACGCATCGTTCGCTACTTAAAAGAAACCACTCGCTACGAACTCGTTTACCGAAGAGACTTAAGCGACTTGACCGGCTTCTCCGACGCGGATTGGAGTAGTTGTCAATCAACACGCAAATCTACAAGAGGCTTTGTTTTTAACGTCGGAAGCGGAGCAATCAGCTGGTCTTCGAAACGGCAACCTACCGTTGCCTTATCCTCGTGCGAATCCGAACTGATGGCCGAGACGGAAGCCGCTAAAGAAGCAATTTGGCTCCAGCGCTTCTTGGTCGAAATACTTTCGCAAGAAAAAACGGTTCCAGTCTTGATCCATTGCGATAACCAAGGAGCGATCGCACTAGCTAAGAACACTCAATTTCACTATCGAACCAAGCATATCCACCTTCGTCATATGTTTATCCAAGAAGCCGTACGAGATGGCTTAGTAGATTTGAAATAGGTCGCTACTGCAGATCAAGTCGCCGACGGTCTAACTAAGCCATTAGCCAAGCGACAGTTTGAAGAATTCAAAGAAGCGATTGGAATGCTGAAAGTTTAATGTCACGTGATCAAAGCACTCCTATTACCGACCTATTCAACTTAGTCTTTTTTGATTAGGGGTGGTTTTGGACGATAAGGATCGATTCTTCTTAATCACCTTATTCAACTATCAAAGTTTTAAAGGATTTGACCGTAGCGGCGCAAACCTAGACCAATATTCCTACAAACCCACAAAATCCTTCTTCCTTCAGGATCCCTGCGACCGACAAGACATAAAAGACCAACCACAATCCACTTCTCTTCTCAATTACACACTCTATCACTCTACTCCTTTCAAATTATGCCTCGAACAAAAAAGATCGCTAAGCGAACTGCACGTCTTAGCGACTCAGACTCTTTTAGATCCGACCGCGATAATCTCCCCCCTTCCGAAATCAAGACCGATAAAGAACTTCGCACTCGCACTAGAGCTCGTACGAGAATAATTGAAGCTGGTGGCCTAGCACTCGTTGAAGAAGCTCGAAAGAACGCTTGCTCTCGGAAACATGATCCACAACAAAGAAAACGAGGACTTTGGTTCTTGCTTTGCGACCTCTTCTTACAAGGCCCTTTTATCGGTGCCGACGAAGTCGGCAACGCTATTGAGCCAGATTAGCAGATGATCCCGGACCCAAGAGAACTACAATCAAATGCTACCACCGACGAGATAGCGGGTTACCTAACCTTGCTGACGATGAATTTCGAGTGTTATCAACCATATTACTCAACGGACAAAACCAGCACCTCACACTAGATTCTTTTTCCCCGACCATTTTCTCATATCGACTGCAAAGAGCAAGCCAATAGCCATATTGGGATTAAGGATAACTACACCTTTTCTCAATTCGCCAAACTGCCTACGAGACGTAACAATGGACCGGCCACTTCTCGTTTCGGCTGGTTCACTACAAAGACGGAAAGATGGGTTGGTAACCAGCCGAAAAGGGAGGGCTCATGGCCGAACGACCACGCTTGGGCAGCTTAGCAATAGAAAAACGGCAAGAAGTTCAGTCTCGCGATTTATGATTGCAATTACCTTAATACCGATCTTGACGAAGTCCACAAGTCCGCGCTTCTCTCTTCACAAAGAGAATTCATTAAAATATATCTTGGCCAATGGAAGGGCCTTGACAAGGAAGATCTCTGGATTTTCGGCTCAATTGACGGCAATCCAAACAACCAATGCGTGACTTACACCGCTACTTGGCTACGTGATACGTTAAGCAATGAAAATTGGAAAAACTTGCCACTATCGGAGAACGAGCTCAAACAAAAAGAGGCAAAGAAAATCAATTGGTCTGACTCAGGACGGAAAATATGGACAAAAGCTGCCTCAATATCACGCCAAGAATCCTTGTCGGAAGTCAGGACTCGATCCTCTCAAGCTTCATCACGCAGATCCTCTATTTCTCGAATAAAAAACAACGCCGAAAATTCGACAGGCACTACGCAGCACCCTTCTCCACAAGCTGATAATGCTGCCAATCACCCTTCGGATCAGTTAGCAGAGGAGGAGGATAGTTCACTTGAAAAGAGAAAGCTCCTCCAAGTGCAGTTAAGCGAAAAGACGAGAACTAAGGATTGAGATGATCTTCCTTTCTTAAAAACAAGCGAGCAATTAGACTAGTCTCTTGGTTTTTTCCTTTGTAGTCAGGTTTTTCGGCCTTTGCTGTTTTTTCCCTGTAAAATACTCCTGTTTTCTCTTGTTTTTCTTTTCGGATCCACTTTCAGTGGGAGCCTTATTCATGAACTTCAGTAGGAGTCTTTTTCATCTGAATAAGTCTTGAGTGGGAGTGTCGGATGTGATCAGGTGATAGACCTATCACGTGTCAAGACCTCTCCAGATGTATAAGTAGAGGGCTACTCCCTAAGTTCATCAGACAATCAATCAAGAATCTTTCTATTCATCTTCCTCCCCGTGTTACCGTTCAACAGGGGGTATGTTGTCGTTAAGCGAAAGAAGAAAAGTGGATGGACGACAGACGACGAACGGGATGGAATCTACCGGTACCTATTAGAATAAATACATACATACAAGTCTAGCAGTTCCAGATCCTACTCCTACGCCTACGCCTGGTGGCAGGCTTCACGAAACCTTTTTTCTAGATTGGAGAAAGAAAGTGAGTGTATGCTATTCATGATGGGGAAAAAAAAAAGAAGAAGAGAAAAGAAGAGAAGAAAAAAAGAAGAAGAAGAAGTGGCGACGACGCTTTTGACGCTTTTGCCTCTCTCTTCTCTCTTTGATACCTAGTCTACCTACCTAGTCTAATCTAGCTTTGCAATACCTTTCGTCTATCTCCCAGAAACCCCCCTCCTTGGATGTCTGTCTATTTTATCAAAAGGCACCAACCACCAACCACCGCCTACCGCCTACCGAAGAAAAAAAAAAAAAAAAAAAAAAAAAATTAAAAAAGAGAAAAAAAAAGAAAAAAAAAAGGGGAATATCTACCGTATCCTTCCCCGCCCCACACCCTTTCGTTGCCCCCGCGTCTACGTAGGTACCGTGCCGTACCGTGCTGTACTGTACTGTACTGTATAGAAGAAAGAGAAAGAGAAGGAGCTAAAGCGTGCCTGCGTGCGTGATGGTGATGGTGATAGTGCGACGCCGTATAGGACCGGACGCTCCGCTCCGCTCCGCTCCGTATGCGGCAGCAACAGCAACAGTAGGCTTCCACTCCACGGGGTCCGTCGAAGGGAAGGACCCCGTCGGTGTTTACAGCTATCTACCAGCGTGGTGACTGCCTGCGGGGATTGGGGTGAGTCGGCGCCATGGACAACGAGGTAGAGATCCAGACGATGTATTTAATACCGGATTGGGGAGGGATGCCTCAGGAACAGGAAGAAGGCATGCAGCGTCACTGGACTGCATCACCCCCGTGGAGCTCACCTGAAGAGCGCTCGTATCTTGCTCGGCTGGGACTGGTTACAGCGGCGGAGAGGGGAAAGAGCACAGGGGTCGAGGATGGCTGATTCGAGAAGAGCTTAGGGAAGAAGAGAAAACACTACGACAGGATATCCGAACTCCATCGTCGAATGCCCTCTACCTGTCAGCGAACAAGGGGCAACTCTCACCCACAGCACTGCACTCGAGAAACCGTCTTGAGGTGGCCGAATATTCCATTATCCGCCCCAACGAGGGCCTCATCCGGCAATCCGCGAGGGATCGCCTACACTCGCGCCGTCAAGACGCCAGCGTAAAAACTCAGCTACAGCATCCCCATGCATCCCAACAGAGGAAGGAAACATCGAGTGGTGAAGACCAGTGGTGTCTCTCCCAGCGCACGTCAGACCCATAGAGCATACATGCGCCGGGAAACAAGACCAAAGCAAACGCATTCCTTCCATTCCATATCCATGTCCGGTGATCGATAACAAATGGCAGAGCGGGGGGTATTAGAATGTTGTAGAGAACGATGGTACATGTTCATCAAAAAGAGGCCAACCTCACGATGAAGGGGAAAGCGAGTTTCTCCACAAGGGCCATTCTGATGGAGATGATGGTCGTCCTGGTAAGATTCAAAAACTCCGGGCTAGATCACGATTCGCACACGGCACAGACAGCTTTGCCTAGACGTTCTTGGGAGATTTGGAATTCCCCATCTCCAGAATATCATCGACGTGGTTGCAGAGCGCGACGAACAGATCAAAGAAAAGTTTGCCACCACCTTCCATTTCTGTCTGCATGGTTCCGCTCCTCTTGAACGTCTTGCGACATCGGATAATCAAAGCGAGATAATGGGCGCGGAGTCGCGGGTCAGTGTCCGGGGTGTTGTCATACGCATACCGCGCGGAGCGAAGGATGGTAGCGACCTCGATTCCACTCTGCAAACCCTGCTTTCTGAGGGCAAGGCTCTTGAGCTCCTCGAGTCCGTACTTCTCCGCCGCACAATAGATGACTGTATCCTTGAGAAGGTACTCGCGGACGCTGGATATATACGTTGTAGCCTCGACGGAGCCGCGGCCACCTGTGTTGTTTTCGGGGTTTGGGGTTGACGCCGCGTCCTCGAGTTCCCAAGAGTTCCTGCGCTTGTTGTGAAGCAAGCGGGGGTAGTAGTCGCCCTTCTGCAAGGAGTTAGTAGATGCGCATATTCAGTAGGTGGAACGAGGCGGAAGCCCAGGAGGGTAGCAAACGCACGTAGAGGTATTCGAGAACGCAGGAGAAGATCTCTGCCTCCTCGTCTGGGAGATTGATCCTCTTGCTCCCGCTACGGAAATGGCCCTTGCAGGCCGCCGCAAAGAACGGCGACATGGTCAGAACATCTTCGTGCGCGGCAAATAGTCGTCCCTCCTTGCCGACGGCAAACGTCACAATCGGCGAGGTCAGATTACTGCGCGCCCGTCAGTATGCATCACAGTCCGTTCGCGCAAACAATAGGCAGCCTTACCCCCCGACGGGCGGGTTCTGATCGAACGACTTCTGCAATTTCGCCAGCTGCGTTGGACCCCGGCACGACTTCTTCATCTTGACTGTCTTCTCCACGCGGTCGCCTGCTCTGGACGAGCGCGAGCGCTTGAACATGGCGGCGGTGGTGGCAGCGGACGGTGTTTGTTGTCGTTGGCGGTCGGAGTGGGGGGACGGCGGGGTGATCGAACGAGCGACGAAAGAGTGTCGAGGTTGCGAGGAAAAGAGAGCGGGGGATGAGAGAGAGGAAAATTGACGCACAAGTTATTGACTGGGTCCTGGCAAGAGATCTCGATATTTTCAACAAAATTCGCGAGATTCCTGTGTACTTTGCGACCCGGATGGAGTGGTGAGGAGGGAAGAAGAAGAGGAGACGCGTGAGATGTCTATATCCTACCGTATCGTCTTGCAGCGCACGTGGTGTGGCAAGGCATCCTCCATTTGGAGAGACGGTAAGATAAACAAACACAGCATTTAAGGATGGCGTGGCACTACTTAGTAGGAGAAGTAGTAGTAGTAGTATTTATTTTCCTCTGGCGGGTATCTATAACGCAATACTTAGACTCTAGGACCTCTCGTGGGATACGGAGACGTGCTAAGTGAAAGTCTGATAGACTCAGTCCTATCTCATCGAGAGTAAAAACTACGTCGAAGAAAAGCTTTCTCTTGAATAGCTTCGGATTTTTGATCTTCGGTATCGCAGATCTTTTACATAGCTCTCAAAGCGATTATGGCCTCTGCTATCGAGTCGGCCGTACTTGTAGAGCACTTTCTTCGAAAGCGCAATGCCGTAACTTCGATCGATCGAACTGAGCTTCTCCTATCTTCTATATTCGTTTTCTTTTTACCGCAAATCCTTGTGATACATTCTTAGTCGGGATACTCGTTAAGTACAGATCCTAGTTGGCACCGTGATCGAGATTTCGACTTTATATTTAGAATGACCTTCGATATAAGATCAAAAAGACTAATATACTAGCCAGCATATCCACGCACTGTATCTGTCCTCATGCGTTGATCCTTCTAAACCAGGGAAAGAGACTGCAAAGCTTTCCATTTTCGGCTAATCGTCGGTTGCCTTGAGTTTATTGTAAAAATCTAACCACAAAATTGCAGCCGATGGTTATGGAGCCCATCGAGCCCATTACAGTGCAATATTTTCATGCCCATTGGATGCTGCGTTGTTGAGTGAGCTCAATCAGAAGTTCCGCCGGTTCGCCTGCATCCGCAGCTCAATCCGATTCGGAACGCCTACTTCCTTACCACTAACCATGAGCTAACTTTCGCACCACAACTCCGATTCTAAGAGGAATTATAACCACAGAGATAATCTCATCATTTTCATATTACGTGTGTATGTATAGCATCTAATCTAAGGTTAAGGTTTTTTGATTCCGTTTGACATGAACCGAGCGGCGGTCCCTGAATTTTTTAGATACGCGTCCCTGAGGCCTCTACCAAGATCATTAAATCATTACTATCAATAAAAACATGATGAAAGGAATATATACATGCTCAGAAAACATTGCTTTACAAATACGTACCAGTACTATAAAGATGTGTCTATTCATTGCAAGCCAAAACATTGCGGCGTAATGAAAATATAGCGAAAAACTGTCTTCAGCAATCGAATACCGGTATTACTTACTTGTCCGTTTTGCAAATCTCAACAAACACATCTCTAGTCAAAGAAAATAAAGCATATACGAACAGGAAGTAATTTCTTCTGTTGTATTACGAGAGGAAATATTTACTGAATGAAACTTGGTCGTATAGAAAATGTATTTTTAAAGAAAGTCCGCTTTTCGTGTTCCTCCGGTATTTTGATACATGTACCACGGTACAGGCGTAAGTATTACCCCTCGAGGATGCCTCAAAAGTTTACTTTCCACTTTAAACCCCCCAGTTACCCTACCCTCGAGGGGTAATACTTACGCCTGGGACGTAGTATTAACTCTGAAGAATTAAAGCTTCGATTTATACAATATATGAATGTCGGCTTTAGTTAAGCAAAACAATATAACTTTATCAATCGATTAGCTAATTTATTCTCTCGATGTGAATTCGATGGAGTACGTCTAATAGCATCTTTGAAAAAAGGCTTTGTTAAATGTTTTCCGACGTTGCGATCGATAAATCGAATTCAAATTACGTAAAGCAAAAGATAAAGAGTTGTTTGTAAGCTGCAAAAGATAAATGGAATTGGTCGGTATTCGATAGTTTGTATAAAAGTACGCTAAATAAAATTTAAGCTTACATCGCGGCTAAAAGCTAGCATACTAAGTATTAAAGTCCGTAAGCATTCGAATCATTAAGCGAAAAAAAAAGAGGAGAAAAAAAAGAGATCTAAAAAATCAAATTATACTATTTTTAATTGATTTACATTCGTAATTATTGCGTAATTGAGGAGTGATAGCTGGCTATTTAAAATTGATTTTGATGTTTTCGCATTAGTGGCGAACAGCAGTTGCCTAGTACTGTAGGTACGCACACTTCGTAATAAAACTGTATCCGCTTATAATGTTAAAACGTACGATCTCCACTGCTTTAGTCCAGAACCATAATAGAACAACTGCATATAGTTAAAACTGTTGAGGTTAATTCTTCTCAAACTCAGTACGGTGCATTTTTTAATACAAAGATAATTACGATATGATAGGCGGTTAATTTTCTATCGATTTTATGAGGACGAAAGTAGCAGTCCCGCCTTAGTGGTATCAGGTCGGAATTTTTTAAGATTAAATACAAGGCACCCGACGATTGAACGGAAGTTTAATAAAGCGGACCCTGAATTCAGGATGATTTTCGACAAGGGGACAGATCCGTATGCTGGCCGCACGAGTAGAAAGTCCAACACAGTTGCTAATATTAGTTAAATACATATGATGTCGGATATAACCAGTCAAAGAGATACACTATATGAAAGGGATACATAACTCTTCCTGCGCCTACATTGGATTTAGTTCACCATCTTGTTCCTTTTCAAGCTTGTTCTCCTTCCCCAGCCCGGACTATCGAAAGACTATGAACCTTTGAAACACGATGCTACTACTATCGCAATTTCTCTGCCCAAGTTTGCTGGCCGTGAGCTCTCTACTCACTAGAGCTCAAGCTGCAGGAGAAGGAAGAAAAACCATCGCCTATCGAACAGTTTCCCAAGTAAGCTCTACATAATTTATAACTGCGAGGCCTCGCAGTTGCAGCATAAGCTTATACTAATTACGCGAATCATAGGCGGAAGCCGAGGCTATCAATCAAAGGAACAAGCCTTCCAGAGATGAAAGTTACGATGCAGTACTCAAAGTGATTGGTCAACTAGGAAGTGGCTTTTATACGAGTGGGTTGATTTGCATTTATAGATCCTCACTTACAACGCGGAGCTAATAATCCAAATAGCAAACAAACCTTCTAGCTGGGAAGTTGAGCCCGGCAAATGGTATTGTGTCATCGAAGCGCCTCATGAAAAGATTGAGAATTACCCTAAAATATGGATTCCAGAATATTGGGAAAGACCTGTCTCCGGCGAGTTTGATGAGTATATTGACTTATGGGAACGAGACGAGTCAGTCCTCTTGGAGTACATCGCGACAAAGACGTCAAAACCCAAAAAGGCCTTGCGCTTTTCATATGTCGCATGGTGGCACGAAACGCTGCTGCAAATGGTCATTCCAACTATAACGCTAGAAAGCAATGAATTGGACTTGTGGGCTAAATGCTTCCCAACAACCAAGGAGCTGGAAGAATATTCGAGCGAAACCATTGACTGGACGAGTTGGGAGAATATTATTGGAGAACCTGGATATCCACCTGCACTTTTGCCTAATTCATTCGACTAGGAACTTGGAAGGCCTCGACTCAGTCTACGCTCGGAGGTACAGGCCTTATGTCCTGTCTGACCGCCTTCGATAGGTCTACATAGCATAGTGGGCAGTGCTTTCTGCTATGAGATAGGTGTACCCAGCCTAGGGCGGTGCGACAGGACATAGAGCCTGTTACCTCCGTAGTTAAGTCTACACCAACTAACTCGATTGGGTCAAATTGGCGAGGACTGTACTAGCTTTGTAATATACCACGGTATAGGCCTAAGTGTTACAGCCTGAGGATGCCTTAAAAGTCTAAATCTCCACTTTAAACCTCCTGGTTACCCTACCCTCAGGGTGTAACACTTACGCCTGTGATGTTGTAATCAGAAGGTGGTGGCTCGTCAACTATCTCCTCGGGTCGCAGGCTCCCAGCGGGGCCTCGCTTAGTAGCATGGCCAGGGCTGCCAATTTTCTCTGCATCGCGTATTCGCGTCACATAACAAGTAACCGCGTGAAAAATTTAGCATCGCGAATAGCTTCAAAATTTTCCTGGAAATGTCTTTTAATTTCTATTAGTTTCTATCTATTACGTCGTGCTATCTTCTCAATAATGTGATAGAGATCGTGGTGGTGATTGATATAGAAAATCTCGATCAGCAGCCTAACAGTGCCTTTTCGAATCCCGACTTGGAGGATAAGCAGCGGGAGCCTTCGATGTTGCTATTCGTTGTGTTGGGGTTACGCGGGTTACCCATGTTGTGGTGCCACAAGCGAGTCTTGCGGATAGGGCGAACAAAAGTAAACAAAAGATCTCAAGGCCCAAGCCGAACCATAATTATGATATTCATGTCTCCTTCCGCCGGGCAATTAAGCCATGATCGATGGAAAAGCCCTTCCACAGACCGCTAGCGACTCTCGATTCCAAATACTTATACAGCAGATCGGTCTAGCCCTTTCCTGCGGTCCCGGATATCATACTGGCAACTCCTACACAGACCCAGACCCCGACCCAGATCCAGATCCATACCCAGCGCTCAAATCCGCATCAAGACAAAACAGAGAATCTTGCATCTCTCCCTCCTCACTCATCATCCACTCGCCGTACTCCTGCAGTAACTTCAAATCGCGATAGCAATCGTTGCACACAATCATCCCGCATCTCGGGCATCTCGCCGGTCCACACGAGGCAATCACGTGAAACGCTCTGTCCTGGCATCGACCACATGTGTGCTCCCCCGCAACACGTTCCCAATCGCCAGAGACATGCCAGGGCCCCTCAGCGAGATCCCACATCGAAGGGTATCTGGCTGCTTCTTTGATCCGTGATAGGGCCTTCCAGTGGTTGATAGCAAGTCCTCTTCGGTCAAGAACACAGAACAGCGGAGGACTCAAATGTCGCGGTCCCAGCAACTCCAATGCTTCTCGGATGCGTATCCTTCGAGCTTTCGCTTCCACTTCTTCGTACCTCTGGCTGTCCCGCTCCAGTTCTCGGTACAGATTCTCGAGCTCCTGTCGATGTTGCGCGATGCTCTGCCTCAGCCTCCCCGAATACTTCTCCCTGGCATCTAGCAATCTGGCCAGAATGGCATCGTGGTCCTGGAACTCGCACCCCTCCTCCCGTGACTTCTCGATAGCATCCTGAAATACCTTCCCAACATCATCCTCCGTCTCCTTTTCCTGGGCCTCTAAATTCCTTTCGTACCTCCCGAGTGACTTCCTGACTTCCTGGATCTTGCCGAATCGCTGCTCCCTAAACTTCATCCAGCTCTGAAGTCTCAACTGGTACTCCCTCTTCCCTAAAACCTTCCAAGCCACTGCTTTTGCTCTCCTAGTAACCTCCTCAGCGAATAACTTTTGCTGCAACTCTTCCTCACTAAAAAAAGGACTCGCACTCGCACTCGCGCCCGCGCTCTCCGTCCTCCACCTCTCGCTCGCCTCGCGATCAAGATCCCCCCTCCTCCTCCTCGCCCGTTTCCCCAACTCCTCATCCTTTTCAAACTCATCATACCACCCTCCCCCAGCCCCCTCACCATCCCCCCTACATCTCTTCGAATTCCTGGAAGCCTCCCACCACCTCTCCGTCGAGGAAGCCTTTCCCACCCGCACCCTCTCACAATCATACTCCCTCCTTCTTCCGTCATCCCTCAAGCACTCCCACGCTCTCCCCAACTCCTGAAACCTCTTCGTCGCACCCTCCACCCTCTCAGGACTGCCGCGATTCTTATCCGGATGCCACCGCAGCGCCAGCCGCCTGTAACTCTCCCTTATCGCAGCCAGCGGGGCCAGGCAGTCCACCTCCAGCACGGCGTAAAAGTCCCTTTCCCTCACACGGTCCCCATCTCCATCTCCATTCTGATTCTTGTCGTCCGCCGCATGCTGTGATGCCGAGCTGGGAGCCATGCCATTGCTCTACACCTCATCTCACCAGGACTTGCATCGTCGAGTCAATAACCGATCACATTAGACGCCGAGGCAAAAATATAACAAAAGAGGGGGCGGAAAGGAATTGCAGGCCGGTAGGGCCACCGTCCATATCCCAAAATGCGAGTCACATGTGGCCGCTTTTGTTGAGACGCAGGGCTAAGGGGATAGGTACTTACCGCGGCTCGTCCTCCTCGGCAGGGGTATTGATCTCTGATGATTCCACCAATCGCGCGCTTAGGGTAGTCAACGGTACAGCCGCGAGGCGGGTCCAGGGGCGGGTAAACCGCGGGCCTGGCAATGGTCAAGGGATCGACCGTATCGGGGTGGCTCGTTTGTAGTCAGTAGAATACCTAGGTCAGACTTTGGACTAATGTCAGAGGCAAACGAGTTGAAGCCAATTCAGCGATAAGACGAGAAGAGACAAGCCGGTTGTATTGTTTTATCTAAAACTTTTTTATTTGTTCCTCCCTTTCAATTAGAGACGCTCGCGCGAATCAATCACGTCGACTCTACAAAGACCACGATCGAACGTTGGAGGTTTTTCGCATGCATCTAAGAGCCGTCGAGAGGCCCTAAGATTGGTTAGCGTTCTACATTAGAGCCGAGAAATATTTCTTTTGTGCGACTATTGCATGTTATGCGGAAAGAATCGACGGCATTATGATCGATAAGAGTGCACTTTAGAATGATAGGTATTCGCATGATATATACTAGTATTATAGGGTATGATTGAGGGTTTGAAAAGACTTGGTTTAATCTGGTAATCACTTACGTCTCCTCCACTATAGTTAGCGTCTGTGCCAGCGAGTAGAAGGCATACGGCTTGGGTTTCGGCCTGATCTACCGGTATACAAGTACAGGCTGTGCTCTGTGCGCTCACTGCAGAAATACTACGTAAAGCAATACGTGAAGGTACCGGTAGCTCATCAATTATACACTAGAGCTCATCTTTAGTTCGCGTAAATCTCCACCTTTATCAAGAACACCCCCCATGTTTACTACAAGCACACGAACTACTAGTCTTTCATATAGCATCTTATTATTAATTTGATTATCACCTTAACGGATTCTGTTTAATAGATTAATAGTTGTAATTATAGAATATGCATTGCATATGGGGGTGTCGATAATAATAAAAAGTCAAAGTTTACATTTGGAAATTTACGCGAACTATGGATGAGCTCTAGTGTACAATGGAAGAGGTTACTGCACCCGTTTACAGATGATAAATCAAGAAGAAGAAGTACGGTTCCTACATACCTATTATTGAATACCGAAAAACAGTTTCAAGCAAACCTTTCAAATTTTCAACGCCAACCGAGGATCACGATTGTTGAGCACCTGGGCAATGGCCTGTGGTCTACAAGGAAGGAAAGGAAGAGAGGTCCAAGGTATTTTATTATACACTTGTAAATAGACCACATTTCAGAAATTTGATCAGCGGAACTCTTGAATCCCCCTTCCCCCATAAGTGATCGATTGATTGATTGATTGACCAGCGCTTCCTACAATGCCATCTCTTTTCGGAAACTGTAACTTCTGCGAAACACGAGATTGAACACCCAAACTTAAGACCATCATACACAATATTAGCGTACTAATAAACATGTCAGAGGCGAGCCTCCCTCTTATCCAAAAGCCTTCCGAAAGGAGCTATTATCTCGCCCTAAGTAAAGGTCTTTCCAAATGCAGATCGGTCGAAAGCTTTGCCTATATCAAATATCTTCCTTAGTCTCCACGTCAAACCCAAGCTCTGGCAAATAAGCTGTTCAAGTCTCTCTCATAGGCCAAATTTTTTTCACGCCTCACTACCATCTCCAACTCTACTGTCAGAGTTCTTATTGCCTTCTGTCACGATTTCGTAGAGCTTCCCGCATCCGCCATAACTTCGAGCACCGTACAAGGAATGGGTCGTGTATTGAACAGAGCAGAAAGAATGGTACTTGTAATTCTAGCCTTCACCTTATACATGATTTCATAATACGTATGTCGTTTTGCAGATGAGGTTTTCCCTCTTTCGTTTAGCCTAGCCTCTGACGAAGAAGATGTCCCAATCATAATTTACAAGCACTCAATTGTCGGTTTTTTTAAAAAAATAATCAAGATATTCAGTCGCGGATTCGTGATGAAGGAGATGTGTATTCACAGCTAGCTTTAACCGTGTCAAGTGCTCGTACCATCAGTCAGTCTCGATTTCCCGAATAGGTAAGCGCTTGCCGCAACCTGAAGGCCCTATCGAGGTAGGAATTTGGCGGGCTGAGCCGGTCACCAGTTTGGAGAGGTATAACTATATCACTTCCTGAAACTTATTTTTGAACTGAAATCAACATCTCTCTCTTCGAATTCCGATACAGTTCTCCCGCTAACCTCCTTCCGCAATCGCGTCGCGTGCTCTTTAACATTGTATGTGTTCGGTGAAAAATTGACCCGAGGCCATACAAGCGATCTACCGCCTCGATGTCGAGTTCAGCATGCATAATCGCTCTCATATAGGAAGCGAACAATCGAGATAGCAGCGGGTAAATTAAACTGTTGTCTCGGTGCAGGTATCGTATCGTATGGTATGTATGGTATATATGGTATGAATAACAGTGACATCTTCCAAAACGAGGTGTATCTCTCAGGTGACATGACTCTTAACCAGAACTTTTCCCATCCACTTCCGAGGATCGATATTGCTATCCTGAAAGCTGCACCAAGATGATTCACCGTACCGCACCGCGATCCCGCTGGCCGGCATAAGTTATAACTCAATTGACTTCCTTCAGGCGTGTTTCGGTTGCGTGTAAGCCAGTGCTTCCCCGTGTAGCCGTAGCCGTATACAGATATAGTTGTAGATGAATCAGCCCCTTGTACTGCTCTGATTCCTTCCTCAGAAACCAGATTGTCGAAAGCGAAAGAGTAGATCCAGAGTCGAAATGCTCCGATTCTTCCCCCAACTCGGGTATTACAAGCCGTTGCTCCTTTCCCTGAGAGGAGAGAGAGAGAAAGAGAGAGAGCTCAGTCTGCTACCTTTCTTATCCTTCGCGAGTAAATATATTGCTAATACAGCATGAACTCTGAAGATAAATAGACAGATCTAGCTATTGTTGTCAACGCCTTTCTCACTCTCACACTCATTGCCAAGTCCCCCCCCCCCATTCCCTTTACCGCTGTTTCGTCGGCAGGCAGACAGCACATATGGAAAATGAGCTGCTTGGAAAATGAGATTTCTGTTAGCAGTAAGCTGATCTAAAGAGGATTCACGATCTTCAGTCTGATCTATACCAGCCTCTGCTTTTAATCGGGTTTGCCATTTAGTATCTTATGGTGGTTTATTACTACTGGTAGGCTGTTGATACGTAGATGGCTGGCTGGCTGGATTAAGTCTTCATATCTTCTTCTCGCTTACTCGATTGATTGATTGATCGGCCGGCGAAGTAAACAATATTCCCTCCCGCTTTCCTCCCTCGAATCTGACCAGATCAGTCACAGACAGCTAAGAAGCTTCGACTACTACGCGCCGTCTCCCTCTCTCTCTCTCTCTCTCTCTCTCTCTCTCGGAGGGACCGCATCGTAAACAGTAATCGATAAAAGCTAATATCTAATAAGAGGAATAAAAGCCATAGAGGGGAATAAAAGCAGTCATGAGGTAGGTAGAAGCAGGGTTCTCTAACGACAACTGCCAATTTCAAAACCGCAAGGCCAAAGACCTTTCTATCGAAGCATACCAAAAGCAGTACGACAATACGCTACCTCAATATTTAGGATAGTTTTCGCAAAACCTTCCTTTTACGAAAAGGCAAATCAACTGATTGGATGGCTATCGGAGGTGGGATGTATATATATAATTTCGGAGCCGGTGCCAAACAATTTCGCCGCTGTCAACTCTCCTACCACCCTCCTCTTCCTCCTTCCTTCCAATTAAATTCCCAATCAACCTTTCGAATCTCAACGGAAAACCCTAACTTACTCACTTACTTACTTACTATTTCCATACTTTACCCATCCCATCCCATCCCATCTCAGAATACCCTCTCAATAGTTTCTCTAACTATAATGTGCGGGTGGGGGTTGTTTATAGCCCGGTCCCCCACCCTCATCCCGCGCCTGACCCTTTCAAAGAAAGTCTCTCTCTCCCTGTCCGACAACAACAAGAAGAAGAGTAAGAATATCCAGAACGAATAAAGAATAAGAACATGAGGAAATAAGCCATCCCTCCGAACGATTTTCTAACATTTCAAAGGATCGCGAGTCCCGCTTCCCGATAAGCGTAGACCATGACCATGACCATGACCATGGCCACAACCACAGCCAAAGCAAAGATAAAAGCTACTGTGACATTGTTACTACTACTTACTGTCGGTACCTACATCAATATCGACCCGAATTAGGTAGTAGTAGTTGGGGGAGATCGGAAGGTTCGGGTACCTACCGGTATCTCAGACACGGATTAGCATGCTTCGCTTAGCGTGGCAGACCCGCAAGGGACCCCCAACTTCGCTGTAAAAGTAAATACCATCAGATACCGGTGGATAGCCAGTCTCGTGAGTCCTTCTATTTTTATAGAAGGAATCCACTCCCTCGAACCTTGGGTAGCAGACGGAATCCACGTGCCGTTTTTTACCTATCGTTTTGCAATTGCAAGAAGCTAAGTGCGCGGCACGCTCGTGATTCGAATGTTCGCTACCGGCGATCTAGCAACTGCTACTAGTACTATTACTAGTATTGCTACTACTATAAGCGCTCAAACACACAAGCTCATCTAATCTAATGTAACCCCATATCTAGGCAAGGCAAAGAAAAGTAAAGAGAAGCAATGTCGTAAGCGAGGAAGGATATCGAGCGAGAGACTCTCTGAAGAAGCCCCCTCAACCCCTCAAACCCCTTCTCCCTTCTCCCTTCCCCCTCCCTGCCTTTTCCTTTCTTTTTCCTCTCCTAGATAAATATTATTTCATCACAAAAAAAAAAAAAAAAAAAAAAAAATTAACATAGAGAGAAAAAGAAAAGCAAAGGGACACAGAAAGGTGACCGACCTTACAAAGAGAAAGAAAAATGAATGAACGAACGAACGAACGAAGGAATAAATGAATAAAATGAAATACAAGTGGAAAATACTCCGTAGCTATCAATCCAGCCAGTCTCCAAGCCGCCCGGTTAATTAGTCGGTAGGTAGAAAGTAACCAACCTATAACCTACCATTTACTGCTATCGCTGCTACATGCTAATCCAACAAGATCGATATCAAATCGAATCAATCAATCAACTAATTAAATCCCCCTCCCCCCTTTCCCCCTCCTCCCTTTCCCCACTCCCCGCGCCACGTACCAAATACCACGTACCTACCTTTCAGGACATCTTCCCCATCGAGCGGCAAGGCAAGGAAGAAAGGGAAAAAAAAACGTTTCTTTCGCTTACCGCTTCCAAGGACCACCTACCTACCTATAGGCTTATTCTCCCTCGTAGGATAAGATTAGGAGGGGGAGGGGGGAAAGAGATGAAAAAGGAAACAAACGGGAGTTATGAAGTAGTGTATATGGTTTTTTTCTTTCTCAAAAACTAGGCGCAAGGTAGGCAGGTAGTGCGCAATAATACGGCCAAACGCCAGGTCCATTTGCACGCACCCGTTAGGCCAGGCCCGAAGAGACAGCGCGGAGCCGGTATGCCAGATGATGGTACAGGTCCTTTATTGCCGGGTATCAACCAGAGTCCCCAATGCTCCCCATCCAACGCCTATTTTATGCATCTCATCTCATCTCGTCTCATCTCATCTCCTCTCATCCGTGTACATCCCCTCCCCCCTTTCTCCGTCCCCGGCCACTCGGCTCCTAGTCAAAGTCGCCGCCAGCCCAGGGTTCATCTTCATATTCCCCATAGCCAGTGCCGTCCCCGAAATTCGTATCGTCAAAGTCCCCGACGCCACCGGCGTCGATGCCTCCCAGATCATCATAAACCTCGTTATCCTCGTACTCTTCCTCCTCGTCCCCAGCCGCCTGTGCCTTCTGGCTCTTCTTCAGGTTCGAGCGCCAGTCATCCACCGCATCGTTCTCGTCGTCGTCTTCAGCGGGGGCGGAAGTAGGTTTGATGTAATCGTCATCATCACCATCTTCTTCGTCAATTTCGGGCTCGGGCTCGGGCTCGGGGGCACTGGCCTTCTTGTATCCCGCCTTGGGTCCTGGCTTGAGATGGGGACCTGGCTTCCGGCGGCTTCGCTTGGGGATGTGTGCGTTGCCGACCAAGGCGATGCCAGTGCCATCGTCGACGTCCATCTCGCTACCGGCTACACTACCAGCAACACCGGACATGGTAGATTCGGCATCGGAGAGCTCCGAAACCACACTGCCAGCCCGAGAAGTGAGTCGACTCGTGGCCGCGCTGCCGAGGGCGTCTTTATCCTTGAGCTTGCTAATACCTGCGAACATGGAGTTGATGGCGTCGTAGTTGATCTTCTTCGAGAAAGCACGTTCCTTGAGAGCCGCGACGGCAGCTTCTCCTGGACTACTAGCTGCACTCGTCTGACCCTCTCCAATTCTAGGCTTCGGCTTACGGGTACGCTTGGCTTTCTGTGGTCCCTTAGCCGCGTTCTTCTTGGCCCAATCCTTGACCTGCTGGGCTCGCAGCCAGCTTTTGTTGTCGTTGGACCAGACTTTCTCCTTCTTAGCAGTATCTGCGGCGGACAGCATGCAGTACTCTACCTCGGGGTCGCCCGCGAACTCGTCCTCTCCGATTATGGCATCCACGCTGATGCCCTTTGGGGGGTTAGCTTTCCAAAAAGCCTTCAAATGTTCAGCAGCGCGCTTCGAAGCCTCGGCGAACAGTGTGGCGTGCTCTTCACCGCTATTGGGGGCCATGATCTCTTCTCCGTACGATTCGCGCGGTTCTGGCTCTGGCGAGGGGCTATATTCGCTGGCATTAGATTCAACTCGATTGGGGGTGGGATCTCGATTCGGACTGGCGTATTGACTGGGTGTTTCGTCTCGACTGGGTGTGGCATCTCGACAGGCGTTGGCGTCTGGATCAACATTTGGTCTTCGACCGGCGAGTCGCATTTTTTCTTCATGGTCTCTCACTGCCTCTTCTGCGCGAGCGACGGCATCGGGATCAGAGATCATTTCGCTGATTTGATCCTCCATCTCTTGCTCGCTGGCAGACCAATTGTCTGGCACGTAGATAGACTTCGAGTTGCTTCGCAGTCCCGGCACAATGACACCACTCTTAGAACTTGCTTCATGGCTTGCCTCTGCAGCGGCTGCAGCGGCCTCTTCATCCAGCAAGGCAAGCTGTTCAAGGGTTGTCTCCGTCTTGTCCGCTATCTGAGATTCGATGAGTTCGGGATCGATAAGACGGTCGTGTGACTGAACCGGCAGTGGCGGAATGACAAATCCTTCGGCATCGCGCCGGACCTCTGGGTCCGCAGACTGCGAGGTGGCAGGAGCACTTGTGATTTGTTGAGTGCTGGGAGCCGTGGCTTGGGGGCCTGATAGGGTCTCGGAAGCCGATGCTTGAGGAGAGCTTGCCGGTGTATCCGAAGGCGCACCGGGCATCTCGGAGTCTGCACCTGCAGCTTCGGTACCGGCGGTCTTTCGACGCTTCGGGTCCGGAGTTGCGCTCTCGGTACCTTCGTTCTCGTCTCCCGAGTCCTCGGCCGCATCATGGGCTGCCTTGCGCTTGCGGCGCTTTTTGGTCTTTAGGAATGCCTCCGTCTTCTCGTAATACGACGGAGGATCGTGACACGTCTCCAAGAACTCGTTGTTCAGGAAGTCCTCCACAGTCAAGGCACTGGAAGGAGTCTGCTTGAACTCTTCCAGACGCTTCTGGATCGTGTGCGTGGTGACCTTGACGATGTAGACGACCTCGGTAATAGTTCGGCGGAAGTTGTTCATGCGCGCGGCAAGAATAAGACAGGCGCCGCAGACCCCCGATGGCCGTCGACCCATGACCATCCAATCCAAGCTCATCCGTTGAACCATGCGAACGGCATCCTCAGCCACCTTGGTCATCTGATTACCGAACTCGAGTTTTTGTGCAAACCGAAAGATCAAGTCTTCGGGCAGGACTGGCTGGATACCCGCTTTGGCAATTGCGATAGTATCGTGGAGCTTCTTGAATGTGTAACCCAGCTTGAATACGTTGGTCTAGAGAAGAGTCGAGTCGTTAGTAAGTAAGGGGAACGCCATATACGATTTATCGTGTCGATTGGATAAGAAGCTCACCTGGACCAAATCCGCAAAATCAATGAGCATGATTCTGCACGGGCTGTCTTTCCGACAGGCACTGTAGAGACAGACGGCGGCGACCTGCTCCATCCGACGACCTTGGATGAAGTTGTTCATGGCGGCCAGCTTGAAGATCTGCACGCCGTTCTGAATGGTGGACTCGCGGATGCCGAGTTGCGCACCCATACCCTGTATAGCATTACGACCTTTTCAGCAATTAGTTGGTGACTTGGTGACATATCAAAAGGGCAGTCAATCAAGACCGATAGAGAGAGAGGTATACCTTCTCGAAGAGTGTTTTCCCGGTTGTCTCCTCCGCCTCGCTTGAAGCCAGGGCCGATGGTACGAGCACCACCCTGATCGGCACTGACGAAACTCCCCTGGACGACGGCACCCCCGGCTGAGTTCTCGCCAAAGGTGATCTCGGAGACAATGTTCGAGTCGTCGACCACGAAACCACAATTGTGGCAGATGCCATCTTGGATGTCGGGGTCGTGACACTCCTTATTGGGGCACGCTGGCCTGCGCGGAGGCAGGGCGGCAGCTTTGGCCCGGGCAGCAGCGCCGGCGGTAGCTTGACGGACCAAGGTGGGAGGCGCATCTTTGATCGGGACTCGGTTGCGGAGGGGATTCACCTTCTTAGGTTTCTTTGGAGGCGCCATGGCGACGGCGACGGCGACGACGACGACGTCCACTCCGCCACTACAACCCCGCGCCAGACAGATCAGGAGGATGAGAGAGAGAAGCAAAAGAGAGCGACAGCAAAAGGATGGGCAGTGTATTGGGTAGAGCTGGAGCTGGAGCTTTTCCGATAGAGGCCCCACGTGATGGGGGTGTAGCTGAGGGTGCAGGTGAGTGGTGGGGGTTGGGGGGTTGGGGGTTGGGTGTGGTGTTGGTCGTGTTGCAAGTTTTTGGGACAAGGCGGTGTTGGAGCGGAGAGAAATAAGTCGCTTTCGCTTGCAACTTTTTTAGGTTGGTCACGTCCAGCCCAGCACCTCTCCCCGCAAACTGGTAGCGCGGTCGGCGACGACGAGGTCAATGGGACGGGATGGACTACGTCGAAGGAGATGACTTATCCCAGAGTTCAGGATCGACTCATGTATCGAGAGTGACAGGATTCCGACTCAAGACAGCGGTAATTTTTTTTTTGGTTCGAGTTTTGTCCGATTTTGGTTTTTCTCTTTTTTTTTTCTTTTTTTTTCTTTCCGTTCAATCAGCTCCGGCTCACCTACCTTCATCTCCCACTGGGGCACAATACAGTGGCCACCCGTACTCCGCCTTTGTTTTGTACTTTGGTACGACGAGATACTGCGAGAGCAATAAACCGGTGTAGCGCACAAAAGCCAACACTTTAGTCAGAATCGAATGTAGGTAGGTAAGGCACAAGACACAAGGCAAAAAGCAAAAAGCACCAAGCACCAAGTAGACCACCGAGAGCTTTTAGTTCTTGATCTTGCGAATCTGCTGCACACAAAAAGCCAAAGCCCCAGCACCGCCAACCAGCCCATCCTCTTTGATCTCCGGCCCCGCCTCGCCCCGCCTGAACGCGCTAGCCCCACCTCGACTCGTGAGTCGGTCCGTGTCGGATTATTTTTTTCAAGATTACCTCCCGCCAGGCTTCGTGCTCACGCGATTGCCCAACCCCAAACAAATATACTACTACAATTTTCCCTCGCGTTACTTTACAGAACTCGGGGCTCTGGTCTCCTTTCTCTTTTCCCTTTCTCCTCAACCTCCAAAAACCAAACACAACCACCAACTACCAACCACCAACCACCAAACACCAAACACCAAACACAAAATACTTCCCTCCGCAATCATGGCGGACGAGAAGATGAAGGGAATGGAGCATTCCGAGGTTCACTACTTCAACAGGTAAGCTGGGCGGGCATAGTTCTGCTTATTGACATTGGCCCAAGGCTAAGGCAGCTAACGCGTGAATAGTTACAACCACCATGGTAGGTGCTCGTCTGCGAATGGGAGACGATCCAATGCTAATATGACAGCAAAGGTATCCACGAGGAAATGTTGGTAAGCACCTACCTCCCTACCTCCCTACCTACCTGCGCATATCCTGCCTCCCCTTCTCCATGTTCACAGCCGCGCTAACAGCCTCGCAGAAGGATGAAGTCCGCACCCGATCATACATGAATGCCATTGTACAAAACAAGCACCTCTTCAAAGACAAGATCGTCCTCGATGTCGGCTGCGGAACCGCAATTCTCTCCATGTGCGTCTTCTCCAAACCGTCTGAACTTCTGAACTTTAGCAGCTTGTTTGTCGGGTCCGCATCGAGGCTAATCTCTCCCCCAGGTTCGCCGTCAAGGCTGGGGCAAAGCACGTTATCGGCGTCGACATGTCCACCATCATCGAGAAGGCCAGGGAGATTGTCGAGGTCAATGGTATGGCCGACAAGATCACCCTGCTGCAGGGCAAGATGGAGGAGGTCGAGCTGCCGTTTCCCAAGGTCGATATCATCGTCTCCGAGTGGATGGGATACTTCTTGCTCTACGAGTCCATGCTGGATACTGTTCTGTACGCCCGCGACAAGTACCTTGCGCCGCAGGGACTGATCTTCCCGGACAAGGCGACTATCTTCATGGCTGCTATCGAGGACGGCGATTACAAGGATGAGAAGATAGGATGTGCGTTTTTCCTCCCGCTTCCCGAATCTGCCCTGCCAGGGAGGTGAAAAGCTAATTCGCAGAAACAGTCTGGGACAACGTCTACGGCTTCGACTACTCCCCGCTCAAGCACACCGCCCTCACCGAGCCACTCGTCGACACCGTCGAGATCAAAGCCGTCGTGACGGATCCGCTCGCCGTCCTCACCCTCGACCTCTACACCTGCACAACCGCCGACGTCGCCTTCTCCACCCCCTTCGTCCTCGATTGCCGCCGCGATGATTTCGTGCACGCCTTGATCGCCTGGTTCGATATCGACTTCACCGCCTGCCACAAGCCGATCCGCTTCAGCACCGGTCCCCACACCAAGTACACACACTGGAAGCAGACTGTGTTCTACCTACGCGAGGTGCTGACCGTGCAGCAAGGCGAACAGATCCGCGGCACGCTGGAAAACAAGCCGAACGAGAAGAACAAACGGGACCTGGACGTCAAGATCTCGTATAGGCTGGAGACGGACGATATCACGCGGCAGGCGGAAGGAAGCGCGGAGTACAAGATGTGCTAGGTATGTGACGATGTAACGAAACGACGGGTGGATGGTGGGAGGAAGGGCTCTTTCGCGGCTGAGAGCGCAGACCCTGGGGTTCGATTTTTTTACTTGACGATTTCCTGCATGGCGAGTGCAGTGGATGTGCATATCTGGTTACGATATCTCTGAGCGACCGGAAAAGGGGCTCTCTAAATGGCGTTCAGATGGATGGCACGCATGGCGTGGATGGGAACTAGCTACTTTCCTCGGGACATATCTCTCTATCCATCCCACGATGTGAGAGGTATAGAGAGCGAAAAATAGCATGATCACGATACCTAGGCCCTCTCCTTCTCTCGTAAGTCGACGAGGTCTCGGCTGTACATGTTTGTTCTCTCTTTTTGCACATGACCAAGCTGTATAAGCATTTGGGTACCCTGTTACGATTGCATACATGGAAGCTATTATTGCAAATTGCTGCTGCTGTAACTTTTATACACACTCTCTCTCTCCCTCTCCCACGCACCACCAACCACCACAGCAAAAAACCCATCCCCTTCCTTCTCTCCCTCCGTTTCAGATCCATCAACCATCAACCAACCAACCAACCA